GGCTCTTGCGGTGCCTTTCCTGTCTAACAGTATATTTCTCAGGGTCTTTCTGCTGGCAAATCTGTTTTGTCTGCACCCCATGCACTCGAGATGTCCGGGGTATGCCCATCATTCGTCCTGCGGAGATAGGTGGCTTATCCTTCAATGATTGACGTGGGCGCATAGCAGGCCTATGGGTAGTTACTGCCAGACAATATTATAAGCGGGTTCCATAGCACGTATGGTAGACAGATATTCATTGCTAGCTGAGATCGCGCGTAGTCTCTGGCTATGTTACCTATAGCGCCTGTGCCAGTACTACCGGTATTGTTAACAACCAGTAGCGAACACGTACACTAGGTACTCTTTACTTGTATGACCATTCACTTAGCCGCGGAGTATGCAACCACCCACAGGTGATACACAGGTACTACACCGAGCTAGCTGCTGTAGTTGGTAGCCGCTCAGAGCCTACTACTAGGACTTGTGTAGTTCGTAAGCGACTAATAGTCTTTAATCGAGGGGACCAAGAGGCACTTACGACACTACTAGCCAACACTAGGATGCTAGTAAGTACAATCCACCAAGGTACAGATTAACTTATACTGTTACCCGCTTACGCCTAGTGGTAGTTGTACTTGGTTACTACTAGTAAGTAACCGAAAAGGTCTTGAAATCAGATTGCGCCATTCACCCAGTGAAAAGGCCTGCGGAACCATGTCCGCGCGGGAGCCCGATTTGGATGCAACCAGGACAGCGGGGAGTTCTCGATTCATTTCGTTGTCTTGTTCAATTTACGGCCATTTTCTTTATTCTATTTTTATTTTTATTTATTTTATTTTTATTTTTTCTCAGTTGGCCGCTTTTCCCCTCACCCCGCCCCCACTTACCAGGGGTGGTATAGTGTATAACTGTAGTGTGGTACTTGACCGGGGGGGAAGAGGGGGCGGGCGCCAAGGGAAACCCAAAACCCGCCCCAGAGGAGGACATGGGCTGAATTCAGTGAAAGGGAGGAAGGGAAGAGTTTGAAGGGTCCGTCATAATTACTTACCAGTCAATAGTTAGTAAACAAATACCTGTTGTACAAGGATCTAAGTGTTTACCACCTTTCTATTTCCATCCTTTATTCCTTTTCATTTTCATTGTTCTTTTACCAGGTCTCGCTACGTAATATACCCATACTTTTCACTAAGTATAGAAAACTAGTACACTGCCTTACTACTACTACTGTACCTACTAGTTATACAAACGTTTTCTTTAGCAAACCATTGGCGCTCAGGTGCAGTAGTGAGGGTTTTCGTGCTTCTGGCCTCGTGCAGAACTACAGCGGATCTAAGGTGTAGCTGCATGGCTATCGTACGCGGGAGCCTCTTAGTGTCATGTTAACAAAGGTACGTAAACTACTAACTACCCTCCGGAAGAGTCCGTTTCCAGACAACAAATCTCTTTTTCCGCTTTCCGAGTCAGACTTGGTGGTGGTGGTGAAAGTGTAGACGTGCCTTGTTCTTATTTTTATTCCTTTACCTTCCCCCACCCTCTTTTTCTTCCTCCTCCTCCTTCACCCAAGAGTAAGTTTTTCACTGTACACTCAAAAGTAGCTTGGAAATGGCTACTCCGCTTCAAAATAAGTCCTATGTGTTTGGGCTGGTCCCTGGTGCAGCTCACTGTGTAGAACAGCACCAACGGCTGGTGGTTATGTACATGAGAAAACACGTCAGCCGAGGGACCTAGAAGTCCCCGTAGGGTAAGTGCGGGGCACGGACAGGAGAGGGTCCAGTTCAGTGATGATCTCTCCCTGAATTGTTTTGATGAAACAATTTATTTTAGAAAATGATGCCATAGCCTGTTCAATAAGCAGCAGATCGAAGAGTGGAAGAGGGGGAAAAGGGTAAAAAAAAAATAGAGAGTAAGACATGCTGACATGCTGAAATCGGAGCAGGCAGATAGTAACAAATTGAAAGGGAGGTAGTGATAAGACAAATGATAGATCTGTTCCATAAAAACCACAGAGATAGGAAAAAAATGGAATATGCAACATAAAAGGAAATCGAAATGCCATCGTTCGAATCTGGCAAATTTCAACAGTTCGGTCGTCTTTGACGGATACAGTCGAGACGGCTATACCCGAGCACTCGTCCGCTCGGGTATCGGACCAACCAGCTCGGACTTGGGGACCAGAATGCATGGTCAATCAATCAATCCTCGACAGATTACCTGGACATCAAAACTGTAACAGGCACTTCCCCGAAATCATGAGATTCGGAGGGCTCAAGATGCATATGTCCACGGCCATCGAGTCTCATTCCGTCGCCCTCCTGCCACCTCCCAGTTTCTTGTTTGTTTTGGCAGACGACGAGGTCGTTGACGGGAATTGCTGAGCGCCTGTTTCTGAGCGCAAGATTATCTACTTGATCCAACTGTCAAGCTTAATCATGGCTTGGCGCCCACAATTATTTTTTCTCTCTCGGAGCCTTGGGCCTGAAGGTGGTGTAGGCATAGGAACGGCTATTTGACGAGCGCGACACAGTCACTAAGTCTTGCTCCCGTTGGTGGCCGAGTCGTCTGCGCGATAATGATTCCAAAACTGCTCCACGGCTCTTTTACACTCAGGCTCCTTTTTATAGCGTATAATAAAGTAGTTGAACAAGGCGAATTCCTTTTGATTGAGCACGTATTCCGGCTCAGTTCGGATACGGTGCCATAGACCGTGGACGGAGCCTTCAAGTATAGCCATAGTATCAGCGTCAGGACCAGAATCAGACTCTCTGGCGCGGGCTAAGGCATTTTGCACTTCGGGAGAGGATGGAGGTTTCGCGGTTCCAGCCATCTGGGGCAATTGCAGTTGGAGTTTCGAGGCAGATATTCGGTTTTTATGGTTGGTTTGTTTGTCGGAGGGAGTGTAGAAAAACGAAGACAGAAGAATCCCGCGGGTACTGCAGAATGCTGGATTGCTTAGGGAGGACAAGCCGGATCAATGAATGAAGGAGAAAGGGGTAGAAATAGAATGATCCCTGAGCTTCTCATCAAAAAATTTTCTGGCGGACTGTCTTTGGCAAGCTCCGACCTTCCCCATTTAACATCGTCTAGGTGGAGTAGGGGGTTTGCTGGGTAATCGTGGATCGAGTCTCTAACAAGGGAGAATAATACTAACGATTCAATCATAGTAAGGATAACCAAATAGACTAATACATTTAGAGTAATTCTATGAACATGGAATATTATATTAATGTTGTTAAATGAATGGACGTGCTGGCGCCGGGGGAACATCCATGTTTGAATGTGTTTCCAGTTTTACCTTTAATACTACAAAGTCTCTCTTTCTCTTTTCTCTTTTTTTCCCTTATTTTTTTTATTTTATTTATTCGTTCATTTTTATTTTCTCATCGATTTTTTTTTTCCCGTTTTCCGTTTTCCCTTTTCTTTTTCATTTTCATTTTCATTTTTATTTTCTTCTTTCTTTTCTTCCCTTTTTCTTTTTTCCTCCTTTCCTTTTTTTTTTTTTTTTTTTTTTCTTTTTTTACCTTTTTCTTTCTTCCCCCCCATCGATATTTTAAATTTTAGATTTCCTTCTCAGTTTTCTTATTTTAGTTTTATTCTGCTATCTTTTTTCCCTTCCTTTTCTCATTTATTTCCCCTGTCTTATCTCTTTTGGGTCATTCCTTTCCTTACTACTTACTGTGTACGTACTAAGCCTTCTGGTCTTCCATTATCTACTTTTATTATCTTTTTCTGATTTGTCCTCCGTTCATCCTCCCATGCCCATTATACCGCTTCTCTCTCCTTCCCTTCATCTTTCCAATCATTGGATAGGCTCTACATGGATTGCGTCTGTTATGCAAGAGTGCCATTCTGAAAAGTGATTAGTACTGATCGACTTGTGCCCGTTTCAGCCTATCGGATTCTGTCAGATTTGATCGATCTGATCTTGGTTTGAGCCCTCGTGCCTTGTGGAAGAGCCGGATAATAAGGAACCGAAAAACGAAAATAAAAATTGGAAAAGAGAAGTATCTTATTGCGCAACGATATCGGTTGCTGTACTTAGTCCCGGACATTGTCTGGAGCACGTCGAGCCGTGTTGTATGTATAGATACCTCTGGGAAGGCAAGAGAGCAGCGGTGGTGGGGATTCTAATTCTCTCGGTCACCCTTTTTCCGCCTGTCCCTTCTTCTCTCCTCGCGTTCACCCTCTTTAATTTCCCTCCCATTTGCTCTGATTTGTATGGCCATGTGGCAGGTGGGGTTTCGTACGGGCTCACCCGCTGTAGCAGCTTCTAGTATTGAGCCCTTGGCGTAACGGTTTTCCTCGCGATGGGAAAAGTGTCAGATTCGGGCTCCACGGTAGGGTAAAACTGGTAGGGTTGTGAACCTGGCCGAAACGAGCGGCTGCCACTGGTTGGTTGTCACTAGTCGAGATTAGGAACTGGTTACGTACGGATCGGTGGTAGTCGTCCGGTAACTACGGGTAATCCGTCTAGGAACAGCCGGCGCTTGCACAAATCCAGCAACTGAGGGTATTTCTGTTCCGTGGATGGACTGGGTCTCGTTACGGAGTAGAATGGGGTCGAAAGTATCTGACTTTGGAGCCATCTTGTCTGAGGTCTACGTGGTTAGGAAGGGCAAAAAAGAAAAAATGTAAATTAAAAATACGTTGGGAAAAAACTTAAAATTCTCCCAAGCTCGGTTCGTCCGATTTCGTTTATATGTTGTCCAGTAAGAGAATTTTCGAGGTCATGTGTAAGTACTAACTGGCATTTCGGGGATATTAACCAACTTGACCAATCGAATGCAACTACGAAGTAAGGTAGTAGATCGAAACGAGGAAATAAAACATTTTTCTTTCTTTTCTTATCTATCTTTCTTTTTCATATCCTTTATATCTTATAATTTCTTTATTTTCTTTATATAATGACCATTACTAGTATTATTTTTTTCCCTCCGACACCCATGGGTGATGATTGATAATGGGTGTGAATGTGGATTCGGGAGTTTCGGACTGCTTCCACAAACCTCAACAGAGTTCAAACTCTCCGTCAAGTGTGCTCCGGGACATACGTACGACTCGCCCACAAGTCCGTACGGTCCGGTGCATGAGCTGGGTGGGTCCTGGGTGGTTCGCTCCAAGGCGAATCGGTCGGCGGCGGTATGGAGTATTAGGCTAGGAGGTGAAATGACTCGCATCTCTGAGAGGTTCGCTGTTGGGGAAATGAAAAAGTCAAACTTTCATTTTAGATGTACACAGCGTGTTTGGACGTATACACCGGCGAGAACGCTTCTTCCCTTCGACTCCTCTCGATCCCTTGAAGCGTGTCCTAATCTTCCTATTGGTAAGAAAATATGCATCAAAATTCCGTCAAGAACTACTAGTACTACTATTACTCCGTTGCAACTGCCCATGCAGGGAGGATACCGCGGCAGCAGCTCACCGTTTCGGCTAGTCACTTACAGTAGTCGTGCTAGTAGTACCTACTCGGCCCGTTGTATCGCTAAGACTACGTTGATATATAACCAGTTAACATAGGGAAGGCTGAGTGACGGACCCTCGTTTTTGTAAGATTACAACTATCCATGCATTGGAGCTATGATCGACTTGATCTATCTTTAACCAGTCCATCCATTTGTTTGCCCCTACTGGGAAAGCAAATCAACATGCCCTGGGTGTGTATGTGTGTGTCTGCACTTGATGCTGTGAGCCAACGTTTGTCCCACATTTCTCCCTGCATTCTGGCTTCATTTCGAATAGAAGCCATACGCCAGGATCACCATACTGACACGTTGACACTGTATCTCCTTCTCTGTCAGACCGATGTATGGCTGTTACAACCGGAAGCATGAAGCTCCTTGTCATTGCTGCATAAGCAAGCGCAGTATCCGATGTTATACACGGATATGAATGGTGTATTTCTCCCCTATCTGGGTCATCCATCATTCAAGACAGCCTCTATATCTCATACCCTGCCACTTGTCAAACCTGTCCCAGGTGTAGATTCAAGCCTGAAATTCTAAGCCTATGGGTAACCGCCAGCGTCAGGTCAAACAGTTTAAGACGAGAGTTGGCCTTCCTGTCCATTCTACGTTAGTTCAATCCGGTACCCGACTACATGCACGGAGTGTTCATACCAACAGTAAACCTGTGGTGACAACAAGGGCACTGCATCTCAACAACTCACCCCAGAGCTACGTTTGATTTCAACGGGCGACTTTCTCTAGGCTAGGTCAGCCAGCCAACCCCCTTGCCGCTGACGAAAGGATGCGCCTTGCGAGCGCCGAGACTGATTGACCAAGTCTGAGGATTACGCGCCAAAATTCAGGGATTATGAGTAGGGCCATCGGTGCATCGGCCCCCATGTTCCCTGCTGTGGGCTCATTGGAACACCCACTTAGTCTGTTGCGCCGTGTTGGAGTTCAGCGTGACACGCTAATACAGTATAAGTGGGATGCTCACCTACCAATCATTGCTGATCAAATATCTTTGGAGAGTGACAGGGCGACTTGGTCAGAGTTCGTTGAGTGAGGGCGCCTGAAAGGGCACGATTTCAACGTATCTCGTGCTAGAGTGGTAACGTGTAAGCAGTAGGCAGTAGGCCGTTATGTCTTGGATCTGAACCACCCGAAGCCCTGTGCAATTACAATATGAAACCTAGGAATGATGCCTCTAATAAACCAGCGCAGTGACTGGCTGCTTAGCTAGCTACTTAACCAGCAATGCTGACTCTTTGCCCATCTATACATAGCTAGCTACTTAGTATTGAATAGTCAAACCAGTAATGGTTAGAATCCGCTTAACTTAGTTAACTACGGATACAAACATGACTAATCCGCATCTAGTTCCCCGCGCTCTCTGGCAAAGAAATCTTTCCACACACATTTGTCGAATCGCCTGAGAATACTGAATCTTCCCTTGCCAGGCTTGCACTGTTATCACGTTGTTGCTAATATTGTCGTGCCGGTTCCTAAATAGAAGTTGCCGTGAGAAAATGGTTTACTATTACACGTCAAAGGTCGTTGACCCGTCGGCCTTCATCTATGTTGGGAAAGATAAATTTGAGAGTACGACGACCATGTTCTAATCCGAGAACATGCGCATAGTCTGACGATTTTCGTGGGCAGATGAGGACCTTATAAAACATGGGTTGGAGAAGGACGTCTGGTACCGTCACCCTTGCGCCATCGCCGACTACCTTTCGCAAGCAGCGTGCTGACGCTTTGCATCTGGGTGTTTACCTTGTAGGGTTTGTTCACCATCCTATTGTGCCAGAGCCGCAGGATCTAACCGGAGGTTGATGCTACATTCAGTTCCACGTCGATAACTTGTCCAGTGCCCACGTATATCTTCGCCTCCGGGAAGGTGAAACGTGGGACAACATCCCACAGCAGCTGCTGGAAGATTGTGCACAGCTTACCAAAGCGAATTCGATCGAAGGTTAGCAATGACGACTCAGCAACCGAAATCACCTACGAGAGGGGAACTAAGTCGCAGAGTAGGCAACAAGAAGGATAATATAACCGTGATCTACACGCCATGGTCGAATCTTTTAAAGGATGGATCTATGGCGACCGGCCAGGTCACTTTCCACAACCATAAAATGGTCCGCAAGGTCCTTGTCCGACAGCGGGAAAATCCAATTGTCAACCGATTGAACAAGACACGTATTGAAAAGTTTCCCGATCTCAAGGCGGAGAAGGATGAATATCTAAAGAAGAAGCAGAAAGAGGAGCGTAAGGTAAGAGAGGAGCAGCGATCGAGGGAAAAGCAGGAACGGAGAGAACGAGAACAGTTGAAGTGGCAGAAAGATCATGCCTATGATGACCTGATGAGCGAGGAGAATGTCCAGGCGAGCAACAATCAGGACCGAGATCCTGATTTCCTTGATGACTTTATGTGATAACAAGAGGGTGAGTGCAGATCGGTCATTAGAGGAACAAGCCGGATACTCGAATTTCCAAGGGGCAGTTGCTTCGAAGCTATGAAATCCCTCGCACCAATTTCATGACATATTGTCGGGGAGTCCCAAGGCACTTGCGACTCGTGCGATCAAGGGACATCCTGGGCATATCATCGGGCGTAGTAGTTGGGGTTAATATGCGGTGACCTCACTGAATGGAGGCCCCAACAATTGACTGGAAAGATTTATAAGTTTACATGTTAGAATATACAAGGGAATCCACGCGAGCAGCAGCTCGAAATGGCATGATATAGTTTGTAGTGGTTGAAGTTCTGCGGCCTATCCCGTAAGGCGTCGGGGAGGTGGTTCTGCGTACCTAAGCGAGAGCTGCGGACGGCGGAAGCAATCTCCCTGCGCTAGCGATGTTGACAGCTATGGCCCCTACCTCATAACGACACGCAAGCCCATCCGGCGCAGTGACCATCGCAGCAGCCCTAGAACGAAACGCCTTTTCCCTAGGAAGTCGGAAGACGAAAAATGCCCGAAGGTCCGTTCTTGATCGCGCCTCCCTACGTTTCTCCTAATTTCCGACGTTCATTCGTGCTCACGGTTGACCGTTGTCCAGCAGGCGCAAAACAGAAGAACAAGAAGAAGAACAAGGGGGCCGCTAAGCCCAAGGAAATAGATGAACGCCCAGAAAGTAGTCCTAATAAGGAAGCACACGAGACGTCGGAGGCCATGCAACACACTGTAAGGGCTCCCGCATAGACATGGTTTTGAAGGCCTGCGGGCACTAAATTTGGATCATGAGCTGTGCAGGGTGATATAAACACAGAGAAGAATGTCGAAAACCCAGATGATGAAGTTGCCAGAAATGAGAATGGAATTGAATCAACTATCGGCTCGACAAAGGAGGCTACGGGGGACCCGGAATCTTCCGTCGCTCACGATACGACTAGGCCCTTGGAGAACGCGGATAAGTCCGCTGCTTCTGATATTCAGCAATCGAACGAACGGCTCGATGCCCTTGTGAGGGATCGTGATACGCTGCGCGCAGAGGTGACCGATATGCGGAAATCGTTGGAGGAAATACAAACCAAACACCATGCAGACATGGAAGCTCTGCAAGAGAAACTAGATGACGCCGAGAGCAAGAAGGAGCATGCGGAAACGCAGTTCCAGAAACTCCTGGAAAGGGTGAATACCATAAAGTCCCAGCTTGGTGAGCGACTCCGGGAAGACGCTGTATGTTCTACCGCCTCAAGTCGAACCCCTTTCCACTCTTCACTAAACCTCGGATAGGAAGAAATTGCGCATGCGAGATCGAGAATCGAAGAACTTGAAGAGCAGAATTCGAACTTACAGGAGGAAACCCAGCACAAGTCTACTGAATTAGAGCAACTATCGCAAGCGAACAGCGAGATGTCGAAGGAGCTTTCGACATTGCGGGACCGCACAAGTCTATCGCAACAAAACTGGCTGAAGGAGAAAGAGGAATTGCTTGAACAGGAGAATTACCTACAATCGGAGTTTGAGCAGGCTAAGGAGGCCATGCATAACTGGGAAGTGCTGGCAATGGAGGAGCGTTCAGTCAGAGAAAGCTTGGGGGAGAAAGTCGTAGATCTCGAGGAACAGCTTGCTACCGTCAAGGATGCTTACGAGAAGACTGCTGCGGAACGCGATTCCCATTTGGCTACTGTGGATGGGCTGCAGCGTGCGCTACAAGAGATCCAAACAGGTGAGAGCATGTTAGTGTGCCAACAACAACTGCATATGCTTACGAATCAATAGCACGAAAAAAGGAACTCCGTGAGCTTGTAGAAACATCCGATGCTCAACTGGAGGAACTGAAGCAGGCGCTTCAAGGCGCAGAGGAGAAAGCCTCAAAGGCCGACAAGGCTCTCCAGGATGCCCAAACAGAGCTTGAGCGTGTCCGGCCGTTTGAAAAAGAGGTCAAGGAAAAGAACCTCTTGATTGGGAAGCTCCGTCATGAAGCAGTAACACTGAACGACCACCTGACAAAGGCCCTGCGGTTTCTCAAGAAAGGCAAGCCAGAAGACAATGTTGACCGGTATGTCAGACTTTTGCAAATGAGCCCAGTCCTTCCGAGAACACTACTTACAAGCTACTATAGGCATATTGTCACAAACCACTTGTTGCATTTCCTTGCTCTCGACCGATCAGATCCCAAAAAGTTCCAGATCCTGCAGCTTATTGCCGCACTCTTAGGCTGGTCTGATGGTGAGCGAACCACTCAGCGCCTCATATAGTGCCACATAGGTAGTAATGCTGACAATTCACAATAGAGCAACGTGAGCAGGCAGGTCTGGCGCGTCCAGGGGCGTCTAGCACCTCTAGCAAACTGAGGGTGCCGAGCACTCCCGTCCACCGCACGCCGAGCAGCCAGACTCTGGCAACGGAATTTCTGGATAATGGAAACTCCAACAAAGAGTCGCTAGCGGAGCTGTGGTCCAATTTCTTGGAGCAGGAGTCGCAGAGTGCCGAGCATCTACCACCAAAGCCGTGAATTAGACACTGTGGTTGCTGTCAGTACTGCTCGAATTCGACCGATCCCGAGTAGAATCCGGGCCGGTGCGCTTGTTATTTCTATAGGTTGTATGATAAGCAGGCTCTTATCATAATATGTATTCGCCATCACCTTGTACTCTGTTGCTTACTCCCTAGCTCTTATTTCTTTACCTAAAACGGCCGGCGCTCCCCCACCGCCTCTGGTTCTGCCGTGACAGTGCCACCCCAAAAGTAACGGCAAAGCAGATGCGGTGAAAGTCCGACATCCCACCTCCGGCTTCACATACATATACAACTAATATATGCATTTTTGCCTGTTGAGGCCCCGTGTCCTTTCCTATCCGAAGATTATTCGTACACCTTCAGCAACTCGTCCCTCAGTGTTGACAATGGCTACCAGTGCTGGTGCGTCTTTTCGTATCAGGATAGGCCGACTCAATCAATATCCTGACCATAACTCCCCTTTTAGTGCACAAGTTCCGTCCGGTGGTGGTGTCTGGCCCCTCAGGTACAGGAAAATCGACTCTGTTGAAGCGACTGTTCTCCGAGATTCCTGATCGCTTCGGGTTTTCCATCTCGCGTTCGTTCAACCCCCCCTGATCTTCCCACTTCCCGTGCCACTGGCTCCCCAGATGACCAGGCACCCCTCTAGCACGGACGCACTGAATCTGATCTGGTATTTCCCGACAATAGATACCACTCGTGCGCCTAGACCGGGTGAGCAGGATGGCCGCGAATACTACTTTACGACAAAGGAGGACTTCTTGGATCTTGTGAGCAAGAACGGCTTCATCGAGCATGCACAATTTGGCGGAAACCACTACGGTACCAGCGTGCAAGCCGTTAAGAACATTGCGGAGCAGGGCCGGATCTGTATCCTTGATATTGAGATGGAGGTAAGCATCCGTTTATTCCTGCCGGCAAAAGTAATGCCGCGATGTTAGTGTAGGCGTTCAGAGAAGATGCTGATGGCACTTTCCTGGAATAGGGAGTGAAGCAGGTGAAGCGTACCGACCTTAACGCTCGTTTCCTGTTCCTGGCGCCCCCCTCGGTGGAGGAGCTGGAGAAGAGATTGCGCGGGAGAGGCACGGAGACTGAGGAGAGCTTGACCAAGCGTCTCACACAGGCCAAGAACGAGCTCGAATACGCTAAGCAGCCGGGGGCTCACGACAAAACTGTTGTAAATGACGACTTGGAGAAGGCGTATACGGAGTTGAGGGATTGGATCGTTGACGGTGGCAACTTTGGTGCGTCGCAATAGGCGGCTGCAGACGGTCTGGTGCTGCAGTGGCCATTGCGCGTTTTGATTAGTATAAAGCTTTAGACCATGTGATTCCCATAGATTTCACTGTGCGAAGAACAGTTATGATTCATTGTTTCGAACCAGCTATATTCTCCTGGCGATGCGCAATTAAGGGAATTAAGTACAGGAAGTGACAAGACGACGCTTAGCGCTTTCGTTGCTAGCTCTTTTCGACCTGGAATAACCAATTCATATAAAACAAAGCAAGACGAATACCCCTCATTCAATGGTGGAGAGGACAGGATGAACACTAATACGATAAAGAAAAGCCTGAAGTTAAAGAGGATATCTGTAAGAACATGCCGATATGAAGGTGGTGCAGTAAGATCAAAACATGGAAAAAGAAAGAAAATAGACCCTCAAAACTGCATTTCTGGGCCTTTGACTGGTCGCGGATACATGGCAATGGTTCGCTTCAAATGGTCGCTCCACGGGACCACCGCCATCAACTGATCCTCAGCCAAATCAATAACCGTTCATAGTCATGCGTTGCGAGTTGCGGCTGAGCTCTCTGTCCGCCGAGGGACTGATGGGACGGCTGCTACCGGGGTGGCTCCCAGCGGCACTGCTTTCCTTCAATGCCAGCAGCTGCTTGGCACGGAAGGTCTCATAGTGGATCTGGCTGGTCGTCTCGATAAGGTCCTGCAGATGAGTGCGAGTGAGGAAGTTCCTCAGGTAAACAAATTCACAGTGGTTCTCATCCTCCACGTTGATGACACCCCAGCGGTTCTGGCGGCCGCGAACCTGCTGGCCATTGACGACGATGGTACGTTCGCTACCCACAACAGCAAAGGGAATGATGTCCTGGACCGGCGTTAGAGGCAGATATAAACGGAGTGCTGTACAACAACGATTCGCGTACCTTGATCTGGACGTTGACGGCACGCTCTTCATCATCGAGTTCGTCATTGTCGTAGGGGTACATCTTCAAGTTGTGGAAGGCAAACTCTTCCTTGATTCTCTCCTTGAATGCTTGACGCTCTTCGAGGGTAAGGGAATCGGCCTTGGCGATGACGGGGACAACATTTACAACGTCCGACAGCTTCTTCAGCACAACAATATCAATGGGCTTGAGACTATACAAAAGAGTTGGTCAGGCTCCGGGAGACGTTTGGGTGACAGAAGATCGATGAGACTTACGCATGGCCAGAAGGCTGGATGAAGAACAGACAGCAGTGAATACGGGTATCCTGGATGTAGCGGTCACGCTGAGCGGTAAGCTCCTTGCGGAGGTATGCGGAGTGCTGATCCTTGATATATTTCACGATGGGGTCCCAGCTAGTAGTACGTTAGCTCGGGAAACGATGTTGCGGGTGGGTGGATGTCTAATACCATCTGTCGTTGTTGACCTGGTCACCGTATCCAGGAGTGTCAACAATGTTGAGACGCAGACGCACGCCGTTCTCCTCAATGACTAAAGACGAGGCGGTTAGTTCTGCCAGTAGTGACGCGGCAATGGCGTGGAGATCATACTATGCGAAACGGTCTGAATCTCGGTGGTCGAGCGGACAGGTTCGTTGGGGGTCATGCGACCCTTGGAGTCGATAAGGTGCGAAGCAAAGATGGTGTTGATCAAAGTGGACTTGCCCAGACCCGTCTGGCCTATTCGGTCCGTGTTAGCTGGGAGGGAAGGGGCTCTCTTTTCTCGGGACATGGTAGGTAGGTGAAAGAGTCGACTCACCAACGCACATGACATTGAACTGAAATCCACGTTTCAACAGCTTGCGCTCAATCTGGGAGGTGATGCTGTCAAAACCGACGTGGCTGCGAGGGAAGACCGTCGCGGGATTGGTGGAAGACGAATTGGCTGCGGCTGCCATTTTGAAGAAGGACGCTTGAAGAGAACGAGAGAGGGGATTGAGAGCAAACGGGAGATGGTATATCTATCGGTCGACGGGCGTCCCAAGGGGTGGGGAGATGGTAGTGAGAGGGAAAGGTGAAGAAGAGAACGAGGTAGTAAACAAATGGGAGAGATTGGAGAGGAATTGACAGCGAAAGAAGAAAAGAAGAGGGGGGCAGCCCACCAAGGAGTAGTAGTAAGTAAGTAGATCGAGGAGAACAGAGCAACGGCGATGCCCAAGCGTTTTCGAGCGAGGGAAGGAGTGGAAGCAGAACAACCGGGGGCCCCTTAAAGCTGCGTTGCTCTGGCCATCCAACCCAAAAGCGGTGGTTGCGACTCAGGGGGCCCGCTATTCCCCCAACGGATTAGCGTGTCTCCAGACCCCAAATCGGTGGAAAAGCTTCAGAATTATTCGATTTTATGCCGCCGCCTTGCCAGCCATTTCGCCCAATTCTCTCCTCCCCAATCTGAGCTCCAATTCCTGTCTCAGCTCTTATCGGCACCTCCCGAATTATGGCTCTACGACTTCTTCCCTCCACCATGTCCGCCCCCATGCTCTCGCGACGCCTCCTGCTCACGGAAACCGTGTCCTCCGCCGCCGCCGTAGGACGGTGGTCTCGTTTCGCTATCAATGCCTCCGTCTGGTCTCACAACTGGCTTAAGCCCGCAGCCATCTCCTTGAACATCCCCGGGATCATGGAGGGCCTTTGGGACTCTGTTCTCCGCGCCGTCCCCAAGAAGAAGACCTCTCACATGAAGAAGCGTCATCGGCAAATGGCTGGCAAGGCTCTGAAGGACGTCAAGAGTCTCAGCACATGCTCCGGATGTGGGCAGGTGAAGCGCTCGCACGTCCTGTGCCCCCATTGCGTTGAAAGTAGGTGCACATCTCTGCGATCGAGTTTCCCCCCAATATCATTCTTAGCGACTGACTGTGTACCGACCTCTAGGTGTCAAGAAGCAATGGAAGCAAACCCAGACGGCTTAAAGAACGAAAGAGGGAGGAATATACGATGAAAAACGGACAGTCTTTGGATTTGCATTGGCGGATTTGTATTATTACCTGGTATTCATGAAGTGTAGGATAAATGCTGCATGGCATTCGGCGTCTGGCACAGCCTGAGAGTTATTTATATTAGTGTTGTTTTTTTTATTTTTTTTTTGCCCCTTCAAAGTTATATTGTGACCATATTGTATATGTGTATATTTTGCTAGAGATCAATTGGAAAAAAAGGATTAAGGTCTTCGCATGTAATGTTTCAATCGCATTGACTCAGTAAATTAGCAGGATCGGGCGGAGGACGTCAGTCTTCCTTGAAGGTCCGCTGTGCTGTAGTGGTGGGTGCCATCGGAAACATGATCTCATTCGGCCGCCAGCCAGTTTGTCCCGCCATGATCATCAACTCGCGTCCAAAACAACATTCGTATCCTTCTCAACAACCATACAGCGTGCTCAAACTCATCCGGGCCTACTCTGTCTAGGCTTATAGAGCTCTGGTTTAAGCATGGTAATGTCTTAACATAAGGAATTATGATGCTGTTGAGGTAGTTTCTAACTTGGGACACAATTGAGTTTTAGTCTAAACAATATCTCTCTTGCGGTTCTGCAGACAATGGTTCGTATATCTTGAATGACTCCCTACAATCCCTGGCATCTACTAATATCAAGAACAGCCCACCCCGTTGATATCTTCGCACTGGCCGTGACTGACAAGCAGATCTTGTCGGCCTCGGGTACTTCTTCCCTTAAAGTCCACTCGACTACAGACCCCGATTTTCCGCTAGTACAGTCTATTGACGGTGCCCATAAAGTTGGGTGCCATCATGTGGTCACTAACGGAAATGGCTTGAGGGCCGTCAGTATCGGATTTGGCGGTGAGATCATGATTTGGTCTTGTCACGACGGAGTCTGGGCAAAGGATGAGGGGGCCTCTGGTAAGTAGTACTCCGCTGTGTCAATCCTGCGTCTGACCATGATCCAGTCAACAAGGCGACGCCTGCAGATGTCTGGGCCATCGCTTTATCCGAAGATGGACAATATCTTGCCGGTGTTACGCAAGATGGTCATATTAAGGTGTGGGATCTGGACACCAATGGCGAGGAAATCCGAGACTATGAAACCAAAGGTAGCTTCGGCACCTGCATAGATTTGGTAGGTGAAGACTAGTCTACTTCCGACACTGTTGGGGGCTCAAACTCATGGATCATCTTTCTAGTCTGCGGATGGCCGCTTCATAGCGAGCGGGCATGAAAATGGTAGTGTTTACATTTTCAGTACAGAAAGCGGACGCATGCCATTCAGCCTATCAGGTGCGTAATCTGTTGTGCTAGCTTCAAACGAAGCAGACACGAGTCCGGATGATTGTCTAACCTGTGTATACAGGCCTGGTTAAACCTGTACGAGCTGTTGCATTCTCCCCTGGGGGAAAGTTCCTTGCTGCTGCTGGAGATTCCAAGGTAATTGTGCTTTATGACACGTCCTCTGGTGAACAAGTGGCAAGTCTCTCGGGGCACACCGCATGGGTCATGTCGCTTTCGTGGAGCCCCACGGGGGAGTATCTCCTCAGCGGGTAAGTGCTATGCATATCCCCTGTGAATGCTATCTAACGCTCAAAAGGTCGTTTGATGGAAAGGTCAAAGTTTGGTCAATAGACACGAGAGCATGTGTGGCCACCCATTCCGAAACAGAGAAAGCAATATGGAGTGTCAAGTGGCTAGCGAAGATCGGGAGATCAGTAGGATTTGCCACGGCGGGTGCAAACCGGAGCATATCATTCTACCGTGAAGCCACTGGTGGTTAGTGCATAGGCCGTGTGCGAATTAGCCAATACCTTTGTTGCTTGAGTCCCTTACCAGCGAGCTACTTGAGGCCTCTTCCTGTGTATGCTGAGACGAAAGAAACCTCTATAAGCGCCTTTATGCATTGTCTAACTGGAAGCCTTAAATTGTAGCACCTAACACCAAAGCAAAGCAAACACTGGTATTGATACATTAATCATTAATTGATATTTCCAAAGCCGGTATAGCCTCTATCTCTTCCCTATTTCATGGTATCGACGAACAACTTCCGCATTCTTTTCAAGAACGCACCGAAATCGCGATCCTCATTGACGATATCGAGCTCACGCTCGAGAGCCTCCCGATCGAGTTTCGGTCGTGTATGAAATACTGCGTAATCGCGGCTCCCTGTTCCGAGTTCAAACCACGCTTCCGCTTCCCAGTCTTTTTCGAGCAAATGGGTGTAAACAAACTTCAGTCGATCCTCTCGTCCGGCTCCCTCAATGCGTAAACACAGATAGTCCTGCCAAAAGTCCAATTCCGGCACGTTCAGCCGAGCCTGAGCATCCAGATATCTGGCGTGCATCTTCTGTGCCTCCAGCTTCTGGTTAATCGCCTTTTGGGTCTCGTCAATTTGTTGCTTGAGGCGGTCGCGCTTGGCGAGGCGGGAGTCGCGCTCCAGGGTCACGGATGAGATGGCGGCGTGCATTTCCGCTGCTTCAGCGGCTTCCTTCTGTAGTGTTTGCTGATGCGTTTGCGATTTAAGATCCAGGATCTCGATGTCCCTTTGCTTCATGCGTTCATCCTCTACAGGACCTGAGTTAGTCCGATGCTCTTGCGCCATCTCCATAAAGCGATAGCTTACCCTGTAGCTCTGCCAGTCCAATCTTGAACTGGTTCCTCTCCTCCAATACCTGCTTGCGGCCTCTCTCAATGAAAGCGTCAAAGCGAGCAGTGAACTGTGCCATGCGATTTCGGAGATCTTCAAATCCGAAGTTGATACTGGGGAGTGAATCGGCCATGGACGGTGCATCGGCCGACGTGAGAGGCGGGCGCATGCCACTTGTCGAGAGCGACGGATCAAAAGACGAGCTCATGGTGTATATAGCTTAGCACTTTATAGGTGCCGATGTACTTGTAGACTGCGAGATTTGAGATATGCGGTGCGGGGTGATGATGGTTACTAACTTTGTTTCATGTTCTTGAGCGCGCCGCTAAAGCGCGGTGTTGCGGCGCAACCGCCGGACTCCAAAACTAACGAAAGCTTGGCATCGATCTATCACCCCCATTTTTTTTTTTCCTTTGGCCTTAGTCTTTCCTTCGCGAGATCACCAATTTTCAGTTTATCCTTGCGCATGCATGGGTTATGATTTGACAGCTGTCAGAAGCAGTTGCATTTGAGCGCGCTGCCAAGCGACTCGTCTACCAGTTCTCAAGCTGTGACCAAGGCGTTGTACTTTGGTTCTCGATATGCCCACGGTTAGAAGGCTAGAGTTAGCGCATATCGCCAGGAGCAGAAACAGACCTGATGGATGAACACTCTGTGGGGGCTCTGCAATATGGGCATTTAGGGAAACCAACGTACAATTCGGAAGCACACACATGGGTCTTTTCACGTACATTAGCTCCATGTAAGTGGTTTGGAAAATTGACGCGAGCCAGTTGAAACACTGACACCTCCTGGAGCTTCATGTATTTCTTACTCCGGAGTGACCAAAGTCACGGTTCAATCGCCCCTCACTGCACTGCAGTCTTCTTCAATCGAGAATAAGGGCTTTTTGCCTCGCGTCTACCCCGAGCTTGCAGCTTGCTGGCCTCTAGTTGACAACGAAACCGTCTCTCATGCTATCACTAGCTGCGACATATGTAACCCTTCAGTTTCTACGCTTTTTGATCTAGGATATGCGGTCGATCTCGAGAATAACGATTCGGGGAGCCGAGTTATACCTATCGCCGTCATAGCATCCGGAGAGTGTGGCAACACTATCAGTTTCCGGAAGATCGAAGACGATGTTGTGGAACTCCGAAGGAAGACGACTTCATGGGCGCGTGTTCCGGCAATTGGACAGACGGAGACCGTTGAGTGGTCGGCGGGAGGGGCTCCTGTCCGTCAAATCTGCTTTGCGCGGACGGTGGAAGATAATGCGACGTGGATGGCAGCTCGTTTGCCCCGTTCGACTACCATCTTCCGACCACAGTATCACCGAACACCAGTGCCTGTCATAGGATTGCATGGTAGTGATCACGTATTTCCTCACCGTTCTCTTAAATCTCGCCTGGATGCGAACCCATTGGTGGAGATATCAATCGAGCAGACTGGAGGCTTTGCGCATGCGGACGTGACTTTCAACCCCTGGTATCAGAAGCAGTTGGCTATTGTTGATGAACGAGGTAATTGGAGTGTCTGGGAACTTTCCGGTCGGCACAGGCGCAACAAGGGTAATTGGGCAGCTGTATCTGTCAATTCTGGCTCACTGCCGTGGCTCGATCTCGGAGACGGCCAAGACATCGATGACCACCCTCGTCATGATGGATGGGCTGCTATTGAATGGGTTGGTGATGTTAACAGCTTTATCGTCTCTGATAGGCGCTGCCCAATGCTTTATCGTATGGAAAGCGGCGAGGTTTATCCATATACAATTGAGCTCGGCCTAAAGCGAAGGTCGGAGTGGATCCTGGACATTAAGAGAAGTTCTGCCAATGTGTCGCATGTTTTCATCTTGACGACGACTCGAATATTCTGGCTGGATTTGACATCATGCCCTGAACCGAGCAGTGCAACCGACAATGACTCGCGACCTCCTCTGTTACCCCGTTTGTCCTGGCGCCATTTCCGGGATCCCGAGGACACCACATTGCGACTGACTCCTCTACTTGTGCGGGAAGGTAGCTTGATAATCGCAGACCTTTCCTTTCATAGTACATGTACTGACGCTCTCAATAGATTTCTACCTCGTTCTATACTCGCTCCTCAACAATGTTGCGCTAACCTTGCAATGTCCATCTTCGTCCCTGGATCAAACGGATGCGATGTCGATACCAGACCCTTATATAATGGAGATCCCAGTGTCGTTTTCTGATACTGAAGGCTCCCGGCACTCCAGCAGCATGCAGCTCACAACGCTTGTTTTCAAGGAGATCACGCATCTGCCATCGTCAGTCGGTAAACAGTATTATGATTCTCATGTTAGGCTCATAAAGCTTTTTGCGCTAGACTCAGGCCTCACTGTCCGCGAATCAATATACATCAGACCCTCCCGTGATGGCTCCGAGGATGATGACTCTGCCGCAAGAGATGTTTTGCGAGTGAAGAAAAGGCACCAAGGAGTGCAAAGAGTGCAGTCGGCTTGCTTTGAAGATCAATTCGTTGTAGAGGACTACGAGGAATCCATGCTGGGAAGCGGTATGCTCACAACCGCAGACCCTGGAATGCCTAGCATAACGCCACTTGCAATCCCTCAGTGGACCCTCGACTACACTCATGTCTATGCTGTTGCTACTGGAAGGTTAACGCTGTCACCGAGAGAAGACGACCCTGGCAAACAAAACTTTGGCAGGAGTTTCCAGGAGGCCATACAAGAGCTAGGCGAGATGGCCAGTGGTGCCGGGGTGAGCAACGACCAGACATGTCGTACAGGGTGAGTAACTCTATGGCTACATACCGACTATCTTTCACTGATGTTTTCAGTCTCGAGGCCCTTGGTAGTAGTCCGTTGCTCGACGATATCGAAAACGATTCGCGGAGCCTCAAGAAATTTCTTTCTAGCGACCATCCAGCTCTCTTGGATTGGAAAACTGACCGTCAATTGTCCGATCATTCTAGTCCAATTTTCGTTCAATCAGCTGATCTCACTTACGACATTTCGAGGTTGGAACTTCCCGCAATCTATGATCTGCTTTCCGATGACTGGCTGGCAGGCCTGCGCCACGATATCCCTGGGCGCACGAGAATTACGAAAGAGAAGACCATTCGTGGCGTTGCGGCTGATCTGATCTTGGCTCAGATACGCATCAGAGTTCAGACGCTCTCTGGGGTTGATGAGTCTGATGACAGCAGACGGATAAGCTCAAGGGATAATCAATCATCATCATTTTCATCATCATCGATGGTTCCGGTGCATGATCTATTCGATGTATCGAGCTCTATAAGTGCGAAGCGGGCGTCTCGGCGATCGATCTGGACAGGCAACGGTAACTTGGATGATCCAGGCAGCGGCGCGACACCCGGAAGCACTCTTGGTCGCGGGGAGCTTGAGAGTGAGAGTCAATGGGACATGGAGCCTACATATGCTAGCCTCTCAACATACACTACCTTTAGTCGTGAGCGGAATATGCCTCGAAAAGTGGCGAGCATGTTGGGCCATTGGCTACCGGGCGCCGACCCGGCCGGATATAACTGGCAGAGGGCAATCCAGCTTCAGGGAACGGAGGAGTCGCAATCAGCATCTAAGGCAGCGACTCCGAAACGCCGTCAACGCAAGAAGACGCCATCATCCCAAGGAACCACCAGTGTGACTAGTGGGAATGTATCTGCACCAAATCCGATGACTTCTGTTACTCCAGATGTGCGGGGGTGGGGGAGTCAACCGGAGAACAATGAGGCGCCTGTCCTCAGACTGCAAAGCAGTCAAGTTATAGAAGAGGATGATGTTCCGATGACACAGATCGAGCGAGGTGCATTCGGTGGTCGAGAAGCCGGGCGAAAGAGCGTGATGAAGGCACGCAAGAAGAAGCGCGCGGCAGGTTTTTAAAAGCAGCCTTGTTAGAGTATTCATCCGAGTTTTTGAAGCTGGAAAGTATTTGAAACGAAGTGAGTACTAGTTGCATTTAAACACCCAAGAACAGACTAGACTAGACAGATGTACGTACGGTTGTAGAGGCTTGATTGGTAAGACAATGAGCGATTTCTGCGCATTCTTTGCCCCGCCTCGGGATTGCGATATCCAACCCTGGGAAGTATAAGAACGAGACGAGTTTCATTCATTCCTTGAGCACTCTTTCCCATTCTCTCTATCTCGTGTATATGCCGACTCCCAGGAACCAATAATCCTGCTGTTGCTGATATTGCTGCTCAACTCGAAACGCCCATCGATCGACATTCCCCATCCGTCTCCACCCCTCCTCTCCTTGCTTCAGCCCCGCCGCCATCGTCATTCTATCTTCTTTATTTACTTATTTGTTCATCCACACACCACACTACCCACCTCCTCTCTCTTTCTCTCTCTCTCTCAAGTTCACGTAGCATACACCGCCCGCTAACACCATGTCCGATCACCAATACAAGTTCAACGTCAGCATGAGCTGTGGCGGTTGCTCCGGTGCCGTGGAACGAGTCCTGAAGAAGCTCGAGGGTACATTTTTTCTCTCCTTTCTTTTCTCCCCATTATTTCCCCCCTTCTTTCCAGAGAATCGTAAAAAAAAAAAAAAAAAAAGCAATAAGCAGATGCACTGAGCCGCTTCGCTAACTTTCTTTCTTCTTCTTCCCACAGGTGTCAAGTCCTTCGATGTCAACCTGGAATCCCAAACCGCCAACGTTGTCACCGAACCCTCCGTGCCCTACGATACCGTGCTGGCTACGATCAAGAAGACTGGAAAGACGGTCAACAGTGGAGAGGCTGATGGCCAGACCATGAGTGTTTGAGGGGGAAAAAGAAGGAAGAAACAAAGGAAAATCAGAAGAATAGTATGGAGCCTAGGTTGGCCTCGGGGAAGTGACGAATCTTTCGTCCGAAGGGGGCAGTGTTATGCATGCATATAATGAAAGAATGGGAAGAGGGGCTACTGCGATAGGTAGTAATACGAGATACCCCAATACCCCTGACCTGCTGCTACTGTCTGCATGGTTGTATATAGCGTGATTATTTGACCACATTCGTGTCTCTTCTTTTATTGAGCTTCAGGAATTGTCTATCCGCTGCCCATGTGTCTGGCATCGTTGTGGCTGCTGATGACGACAACTTTTGGCGGGTATACGCGTAAGAGACACGAGTGCATGTAGTAGTACTCCAAACCCAGGATAGCTGCATGAAAAAGCGAGGTAAGCACTTCGCTTGTCAGATTTGTTGTTGTTGACACGTGGTCGGGTATCACATCCGCTTGACGCTCAAGGTCAAGTATTATGTACAGCAATGCATATGCGGACATCTACATAGAACACCATTGACGAACACAACCCGAAGCCTTCTAATCCACAATGACAACAGTTCGACCCTCAGGAACCGTATAGGGAACCCGCTCAACGCGTCTTACATAGGTAGGATAACGTTGTTCTTCCATCCGCGAGCCATCGTGCGGAAGTTCATAGGCTTGCCTGTCCGTTTTGCGTCCGTTAGTAACAAGATCAAAAAGTGAGAAGGGGACAGCATGCGCAGCCCCAGCTGTAAGGTCCATACCGTGAAGTATCCACAGCATCTTCGTACCCTCTGACGTAGTGGCGGGCTGTAAAAGGCGGATTAGGTACCCTGTCAGCGAGATTCCTTGGACCTTGATGATCGGCCACAACATAATCCTGGATAGCGGGTCCTGCCCGGGAATCCAAACAAACACGGCCAACGGGCTTGCTCCATTCTGTGATACCGGGCGAACTACGCATGTATTGTTCGGTCTGCACTGGGATTCCAGCCGGGGGAGGATGGGGGTGGACTGGGTAGTTTGCAGTTTGAAGACGACGCTGCGCTGGATACTTTGTTGGGACAGGATCTCGTAAATCAACGGCACGAACGAAGTCCTCCGCATAGTGTCTTCCTTGAGACGGTTCCTGTGAAACCAAGGAGTGATCATATTCTCTGTCGCGACGAGTAGGGCCCTCCAGCTGTGCCACCTCAAGCGGTCTTAAACTGCCAGAGTTATATCTAGGAGCCTCATGGTAGACACGTCGCTCTCTCAACTCAGAGGGCCGCACAGGAACAAGCCTATCAGTAACATTATTCTCAGGGATGGCATATCTTGTACTTGGCACAACTTGGGATTGCCCTGGAGACCTGTACTGGATGGGCAGCCTGGAAGGAACAAAATGAGATGCATGGCCATGTACGTCTTCCAATGGCCTTTGATGCACGGCTGTCTCGGTCCTGGGGCCAGGTGCGGTAGTGTAAGTGGAGTACTGCGTTCTTTCCGGTAGACTCTCCGCAACAGGATGAGATCCAACGGGGGCAGCATATCTCCTACGGAAATGAATATCGTCCTGGATTGAAGAGGATTTCAAGTGAGTATGTCCAGAGGTATCCTGATACCTGCCGCTTGTGTAAGGGAACGTTGCACCAGTGGTGATAACCCTGGCTTGAGTATGACAAAGTCGTTCACGGTCGCACTGGCCCATACGTCTCCGTTTAGAAGCTTGATCCCGATCAGAAATATCTGGATCGTGGTGTATCATCTCCTGGCGAGTGGAACGGTGGGGGGTTATTGAACGGATCGAGAAATCCCCGGAGATCCTTTTGGCAAGGTAATCCAGCTGGCCACTATTGGGGCGTCGGATTTCCATGGGTGTAGCAGTCTCAATAGAAGGTAATGCATGATCCTGTGGCTGTACACTGGTCCTGTGTTGAGATGGGCCCAGAGGTCTTGGTAGGACGGCTGGGTCCCCGGTCATCTCATGAATCTCTCTCGGGCCACTCACAAATACAGGCGCATTTGGCGAGTCTTCTCGCTGATATGTACGCTTCTGCTGTTGAATAACTGGCACTCGCTCCATAGAAACCGCACTTGATACAGGTGCAATCTCTTTCCTCTGAACAGGCAGTTCAGCCATACGATGCAGTTCATACTGCTCGTTCAAAGTTAGCTCGAAGCAGTTCCCTCATTGTAGTTTATAGAGCACGGTTATGATAAGCACAAACATAGGTTTTGGTGGCTTACCCGTTCCATTACAGAGTCCGCGACCGTCCTACCTATGTTGATACTGGTGGGCTTTGTACTAGACGTAGCAACGGGTGCCAACGAAACACGAGGCCGATGAGCAGACTCTGAATCAAGCCCGAAAGGTCCTGGCAATGGCTGTCGAGTGACAACCGGGCCCCGAGAAACGGAGGCATCATGCAGTCTGTGCTGGTTAGTCTCGTTTGCTATGTTTCTATATCGGTTGAGAGCGCGGTCCCAAGCCTGATATCTGCTGAAACCTCGACGATCAATCTTATGCCTTCTGGGGGGTTCTGGGATGTAGCGGAAACCTGGTGGTGCTTCTTCATCCGACGGATCTAACTGGGTATCACGAAGGGCAGGGTTTGCATAGTTGAGCGTCCTTGTTTGAAGCTCGTCGGCCTGGGGATTACTAGAAACCACCATCACGCTGTTATCGCGATGATTAGGTGAGAACGGCTCTCCCTCGACATCACTGTCCTCATCGTCTGATATGACAATGACCTCTCGGAAGACGTCCTCCAGAACTGTCTTCCCATTCTCATCGTCTCCCCTCCATTCCACTAATTTTGCAAGGGTAGGCTCTTCAACTGCGGTTCGAGCTTCATGGAAGGATGTCGCCTTCAGGAGACGATCGTAGTCAGTGTAGATGTGTCGGATATGTGCCACAACCGCTAACTGAGCCCGACGAGCCAATGGTAGCTCAACTGCCGTTCCTACTTTTCGCTGGCCCTTGAATCGGTCTCAGCATCTGTCACACATTTGCATATTTTGGTTGCGTCTCATCTACTTCTCCTTTGGCTCGTCACGTACCTTTTGAAACGCGGTCTTGATGATTTGATTGAGATCATTATCTGGAATGTTGGGGAACAAGTCTCTCAATACGTCTCTTGCTTCGGTATTTATAGTTGTCTGGGAAACTTCTGAATCAGCTCGTTTGCGGTCGTTCTCACCGCCAACCGTGCGAAAGGGCACCGCTTTCCCAGCTGCCGTGAGATAGAGACCCAGATCCATGCACACTGCCGCAACCGCGGCGCTTGGGAAATGATACCCTATTCGATGTACATGCTGGGAGAGATTGTGGGTGTGCATATGCGGCGTTGTCTACCCGTAGCTATTAGAGAAACGAGAACCAAGGACCAAAGGTGGGCACAGCTGTCGGCATACCGTGACAGCGAATACCTTCAGACCATCCTTCCGACATAGTTCCTTACATGCCGTTGTAAGCTGAGGGTTGCCTGCAGGTATAAAGGTGTAACCAGGAGGGGCCTTTGCTTCGAAAGATATCTGTTTTCTTGGTCAAGAGTGCCCGTGAGAAACTGATAACACAACAACATACAACACTTCGAAGTTTTTTCTTCTCCTGAGTAACGGATTCCAGAATCACTCTATGTTTCCGAGCATGTCTCTTGGCGATCCGGCTCGTGGCTCGCCTGGCAAGGACCGAGGGAGGTCTCCGAGATACTCGGGCCATGCTGACAATGTAGAACCTTCCCAAGTAGCTACAGAAGACAAGCCTTCATTTTACCGGTACCGGTTCAGATACACACACTGCATGGAAAGAAGCCGTGGAGGCCTGGATCATTCATCGAGAGCGAATGGTTAGACAGACGCGTCGATAGACAGCTAGTAGTCACACGGGTGTTTTCAAGTTAGTAAGCCATATTCTACACAATAAAAGAAAAAAATCCTAAGCATGAATCGCAGTCCCAGAAGTCAAATATGGACTAAACTGGAACGAGACGATAGCTGTTCAAGTCGGTCTAGCCACCGTTCTGGCCAACAAGATGATGCACTAGCCCTGATACCGCGAAATAAAGGGGGGGTGCTTGATGAGACCGAGAAGGCAGTTAGCCGTTTCAACACTGAACTCCTAACTATAGCAGTGTATAGTGAGGCAGAGCAGCAAGGATAGCGGCAGCCGGGGGGTAGTATACAAAGAACCTCCAACAGGCTGGGTTGGGCTGGTGGATGAAGTTTAAAGGGAAAGGTGGGAGAGGGAACGAGAGCGCCGGAGGGCAACCACACTTAAACCATTTGCGGCCTAACGCGCGGGCGCCGCTGGTGCCTGCCTGATCGGGGCTAGCGTGACCTGCCTCATTCACTCCAATTTGCGACCACCAAGCTAACTGTTCATCTTCCTGTCAATATATCACCTTCCACTCTGATTGCCGCTAACTGGATCAGAGAAGGAGTCGAGGGATTCACAGTAATGGTGGCGCTTTCTGACAGGTTTCTGAGTTGTGAATCAAAAAAATAAGGGTGGTGGTGACCGGGGGAATTCTTAGTATCTGTTGCCTGCTTTTACATTCTAAGTTGACCCAGAGGTGACCTCTACCTTTCGCGGCAGGATGATTACCCCTACCCAGACTCTAAAGTCGGTGGTGGATCAGAAAACTGTTGTGCACGCCTATCGCCACCTGTATCGCCAGGGCTTGAAGGCCATCAATTATTCTACCCCAGCACGGCATGTTCTCCGGCATAGTCTGCGATCCGCCTTTCGTTCATCTTCACCGGAAGAGCTGAACCCGCGGCGCATAGCCAATACTTTACAGTTTCTCCAACGAGCTGCCGACGTTGCAGGCCTTGAACATAAGATTGTGAAAAATCTGATGATGATGAAGTACTGGGAGCAGCCCCAAGTGAGAAAAGACCATCGCACGTAGGTTACCGTTTATCCCCCTGAAGAAGAGCTTAGGTTGTGCAGGACTAATTTCAACCTAAGCTTGAGAGGGCTAGGGGTCGATCAAAGGGACCCTATATTGATGCAAGATACAATGCGGCACTTTAACCTAACCTTGTCACTCCTCAATGACAGCCTAGACATTTGCTTGAGGTAGTCCATGGAAACCATTGGTTCTATGCTATTTACATCGAATGTATGGAGTCCCTGCTTTTGTCGGACATTGTAAAGATACAGTCCCCTCAAAAGTAATAGGCCCACGCATACCTTCCACTTCAACTCTCACAAAGCAGGACACGACGCTATCTGAGTGTCGACCAAGATCTACATCCCTCCTTTTGGAGTTTTTTACATCTTGAAGCTCCGACAACCTTTCAAAACAGGACTTGATTCCCAGGCGAAGCTGCAGCTGGATTAGTTGAGAGACGGGAAATTGTTTCAGCCAGCATGGTCGCCACTGGCGTGTGATCGGGATATACGGGAGCGTTGAAGGTGGAAGTAGATCTGGGCCGCGGCTAGCGAATCAGCATCCGCGCCGCCCCAGTGTCACATGTTCGAAGTGCCTGTTCCGGAGCCCTTGTCAGGCCCTCAGGCTCGTTCCAGCGAAGTCCTAGTCTTGTAATCCTGCATACTTTAAAAAAGAATAAATAAGGCTACTTTCAATTACTCTCCTCTCATCTGACTTTCAGCTACGTTACACCCCATTCTGATGCTGTCATAGGCCCTTCATGAGTGGGCTTATTACTTCCCTCTTCATTGAACCCGTCGTTCGGCAAGCCCGCCGCCTCTCCCAGCAGACCAATGCCCAGCCATCCCCCGACAACCGACCTGAATCTCCCGCAAGCACACGAGACCATGTCCCCCTGGCTAATGGCAATTACAAGGCCGCAGACCCTACTAAGATCATAATGCCAGACTCTGGACAAGAAGACCATGCTGATCCCCCGTCGAACGGCGGATATGCGGGGTCCGACCATGGTCGTGCGATCTCGCCGACGTCGCCGCCGATCGACCCGACCAACCAACATCACGAAACAGAACATAGTCCTGCCTTGGACTCGTCCAGAAGTCCAGCCGGGGACTCATTGCCGTGTTTGTCAGGCTCGCCTGCTATGCATAGAAGACCCTCGACACCGTTGATACGGTTTGCCCCTGTCGCTTTTCCCGCGCAAGAAGCCACTCAGAGCACGAGACAGGACGCCCAAAGCCCACGACAACACTTGGACGACCAATTATCAGGTGAAGACGGCGGGGTATCTTATGCCTTACCAGAGGATGATGGAATGGGTGCCTTGAGAAAGAGAATCCACGCCATCAGGGACCTGGGATCCAGCAATGCAGACCAGGCACGCATGATCCACGCCTTAATGACGGAGAACTACCACGCTTCCCAGAAAAGTCTTGATGACCAGTCTGCTCCAAGCAGTCCATCGCCTTTTAGCCCTCGCAGCCTCCCACGAGCGGATAGCCCCAGCGGCTGGTCCGACCAATCTTCCAGTCAATCATCGCAGTCTCCAGTCTCGACGGCTCCCGATGCCCCTTCATACAATTTGACGGCTGAGGATTTGATACCAACATATGCGCCCCGGAGGGAGCCCGAGTCGCCTCTCGGTGAAGTGGAAGACATTGATGCAGAGGAATGTGAGGAAGTTTTCCTGGGCTGTCAGCACTATAAGCGAAATGTCAAATTGCAGTGTTATGCGTGCAAGAAATGGTACACCTGTCGGTTCTGTCACGACGAAATCGAGGACCATCATCTTGATCGGCCAAAGACAGAGCATATGCTATGCATGTTGTGTGGGCATGCTCAACCTGCGGCACATTCATGCGAACATTGTGGTGAAACGGCGGCGCAGTACTATTGCCACGTTTGTAAGCTCTGGGACAATGACGCAAACAAGAGCATATATCATTGCAATGACTGTGGTATATGCCGTATTGGACAGGGCCTGGGGAAGGATTTCTTCCACTGCAAGGTAAGGAACGAATCGACCGAAGTTGACCGGCGTGGGATGCTGATGTGAGGTCTAGACGTGCAGTGTCTGTCTGCCGATTTCTATCGAGAACACGCATCGATGCATAGAGCGCTCTACGCAATGTGACTGTCCGATTTGCGGTGACTATATGTTCACGTCGCCAGAAACTGTGGTTTTCATGCGGTGTGGGCATAGCATCCACCAGCGATGTCTTTCTGAATATGCGAAAACTTCGTACCGCTGTCCGATATGCAGCAAAACCATAACAAATATGGAATCTACGTTTCGGAACTTGGATCGAACCATCCAAAGCCAGCCTATGCCAGCCGAGTTTAGAGACACTAGGGCTCTTATCTATTGCAATGATTGCGGTGCTAAGTCTATTGTCAAGTATCACTGGCTGGGACTTCGATGCGATATGTGGGTTCTTTCATGATTTCCCTCCATACGGTATGCTAACCAAGGGCTTAGGTGTGAATCATATAATACCGCTCAGAAGCAGCTTCTCCACCGCGATGCTCAGGATATCCCAGAAACTGATGGCGAGAACACGGACATGGCAACTTCGCGAGTCAGATCTTCCTCCTATGGCGCGGATGAGACTGTTTTATCAACGCTGGCCTCGTTGCGAATTGACACGACCAGTGTCCCGAGGCCGGACTCGGCTACTCCTCGGACTAACGCACCTATGTCTGCCAATGCAGGTGGCCAGTTATCGTCCTATAGCCTGACTCGTGGTCGTGCAGTCTCCCCAGTAATCAGTAATTATTTTGGTATCCCGCCAGATCGTGACTCGGATAGGTCGCGATCAACATCTTTCTTTAGCGGCCTAACTTTCCGGGGCAGCGGGGACGATGACGGTGGCGAGCTTCGTTTATGGGGTACCAAAATAAAGTACAGCTATGGGTTTCTCGGACAAGAAAACGAGTCTGTCGATGGGGCCTCTGATGCGGAAATTGGAGAGTTGGACGAGGATGGCGCGTCGGGCGATAGCGGATCCGAAGAAGCAGGAAATGCTCGTGAAGATGACGAAGAAGACGAGGACGATGATCAGGAGAGCATCGACATATTTGGACATCGATGAAGTCTCCTTTCTACCTACTATATACATACACACGGCTGTTCCTCGAAAGACTACTTACTACTGGGGAGCGGATAACGACCACCATAATGAAGTTGTCATGGCAGAAGTTGGCCGGTCCGACTGGAAGCTGCCCATTTACGACACATTGACACTTTTTTTTTGCTTGAGGTATGGTAGTATGGGCGTTTGGTGTTGAGCATGTGAGTTCAACGTTCGTGTCTATTGGTACCGTCAGTCATTGTTGCACCCGCACGCTTGTCACACGGCGCATCGGATGGAGGTAGCCGGGGGGTAGGGGGAAGGTTAGAGGGTGTATTTTACTTTTGTGTAATATTAGACCTGGAAGTTAATAGGTAGATAGAGGGGGAGTATCTTCTTCCTCTGTTTTTCTTCCCTCTTATTACTTCATCTTCCATGCCACGAAGGTCTCTTTCTAGTGGTGATGTACCAGTGATGTATGCCCCGGACGAGCAAGGGATGCTTAGGTAAGCCAGATACGGGGTGAGGTTTGACTGAATCGGGCGAAGATGACGATGACGACAAAAGTAAAGATGGGATGCAGATGCAGCATGATTAAATGAATGCAGGATCCCAACCATGGTTGAAACAACTCTGAAGATCTTATCTTCCTACTTCTAGGCAGCTCTGCTTCTTCTTCTTCTTCCTCTCTCTCTCTCTATCTAGGGAACTTTCTGCTGTTCTCTCCTTCCTCCTGCCTCTACCGCTCCACACATTCCCTTCCGTCCTTTCTTTGTCCTTCCTTCTGACTCTCTGCCTGTTGCTGCTCACTAATCTCTCCTCTGAAACGAAGCACGGATCTCTCCGGGGCATGTTCCAACCCTCAGCTTGATTACGAACGCTTCCCCGACTCCTCGGTGGCTGCTGCGCACCCATCCCGGCAACACTCTTCTTGTCCTGCCAACCATTTATCCAGACTCTCCTTTCCCGTCTGTCTGTTACGGATTTAACACCGCCTTGACCGTCGCGCTATATAATCAATACAGTACATCCATTCGATTCTCCCCCGCCCCTCCGATAAGGTCCCTCCCTATCGGTCTCTCTGGCGCGGATGCAGCAGCAGTACAGCTACAAACCCTCATCCTAATAGAATATGATCCGTCGCAATTCAGACATCGAGGTCCAGCTCCCGGATGCCGGTAGTACCGTCGTCTCCGAACCTTCGAACAACCCGGATGTAGAGATGTCATCGGACGAACCTACCCTTCCTCTGAGCCTCCCTGCCCACCTCGCCGCTCGCTTTGCCCGGAAACCCAGCGTGATCCGTCGCTCATCAGCAGCCTCATCCCGTCGAAGCTCAATATCGTCTCTTCATTCGCAACACTCGCATGCGTCGGTTCATGGCGCATCTTCTACCGATCACGCAGCGCAGCATCTCCGGCGGACCTCTATTCTTGAAAGCCGCAAGGCACGGCTTGCCGACCGCGCATTACACGCAGAAAAGGTGAGGCTGCGTGCTGCCCTTGCGAAAGCTGCTACACGCAATTTGCAAAGGGAGGAACGGGCTTTAGCTGCCCAGCAAGCTCGGGAACGGTTACTGGCTGAAATTACTGCCAAGTGCGAGGAGGAAGTCCGCCGGGCGAAGAAGAAAGCCGAAGACAACCGGGAAAGGAAGGCTGCTGAGCACGCTCGGCTTCGCTTAGAGATCGCCGAGAAGTTCGCAGAGGTAGAGAAGAGGCGGATGCTATACCAACAGAGCCAACGGCGCCACCGCACCAGTAGCCTGCATTCTACGGACGAGAAGAAGATGTCAAAGACCTCAGCGAGTCTCATAACGCGGGATGCAGCAGCAAGAACGATTCAACGCGCATGGAGAACATACCATTCCAAAAAGGTCATGCGAGAGTTTCTTGGCCTAGACCTGACGACCAGTCACATCCATGACATGACCTTTGAGGATGTAGGTACCCTTCTATCGGCGGAGCCAGTCTTGAATACTACGGCCCGCGTCCTTCGACTCTGCGGGCTGCAAGACATGGAAAGCGGCACCATGGGTGGTCGGGGCGCTGTGCGCACGTTTCTGAGCAGCTACTTGATTGTCACTCATCCTACGGAGGTTCTGAGCAGCAACGGAGAACAGGAACAGGACCTGATTGCCAAAGCACGGGAGCTCCTCGTGGCGTTCGAGCAAGTTACTCCTCTGCTCTCCTCCGGCTGCTGCTCGCCTCTGTCCATTTCCACCGAGCTCCAGGTGCTGTGTGAGGCATACAGTGTCTTTTTCTCTGCGTTCCATGCGTGGAAGACGCATGATTCCAGTGTTCTGATTGAAATCATGCTGGCTCAGTTTATTGAGCTGGAGCTGATCTGGCAGACAGTCAAGGATGATCGCGCCGGTGGTGTGGCCGACGATTATCGGCAGGGGATTAGACAGAACCAGATTTTGCTCCTTGCCAGGCTGAAGCGTCTGGCAGGGTCTGATCGGGCCATGCAGATGGTGCGCGACGCCTTGAAGAAGGCCAAGCGTGAGAAGAAACGTACTGCCGCTAAGAAGCAAGCTATCCCGCGGTCAGCGGAAGTTGCACCCTCCACCGAAGCTCTTACTGAGAGTGTTGCGTCTCCCATCAGTGAGACATTCAACAACGTGGATAGCGCAGTCTTGAAAGAACTAGACAAACAGCGGATTTCACCTCATGAACGGTTCACCCGGATTCTTACTGCCCTTCCGGAGAACCGGGCGCTGGTTCATGAGCTCCTCATCAACAAGGCGTTCAAGATTGATGAGGAACAATATACGGAGCCGCGCAGGCGGATAATGCAGCATATGTGCGAAATGATGCGCAGAGATGTAGATGACGGTCTGGGCACGAATTGGACGGTCGCTATGGCTACTGTGATTCAGGATCGATTACTGCGTTCTCTTCGGCCCGGCAATTCGCTCCACGTATTGATCAGCGAAGTGCTGGACCCCAAACTAATCGAGAATCAGTGCAAGGCTGGCGCTTTCTCGTACGATAAATTCTTCGAGTTCATGAATACCATTCTTCCGAAGCTCTGCGCTCCTTATCGCGACCCTGTGGTCAAGGCCTTTGTCGAGGATACGTCCGGGGATGCGATCGATCGCCTAGCAAGACTTATGGGAATTATCGATCTCCTGTCTCTTGATCACACCAATTTCATGATCCAGATGGCGGCGCCGCAGCTCATCCAGGAGGCGCCTGGCTACGAACAGAGAACGTTCGAGAAAGGTCTCCAAGATGGCTCTCTGAGCCTGGGAAAGACCCGCCGTTTCTGGCGGACGTACCGAAAGGTTCTCGCAGATGAGATGCGGAAGCGTGATCCGGAGAACATTAATGGCGAGCCGCAGCCCCCTATGGCAAAGGTCTACGCGCAAGGATTGGTGGATCTGGTGCTGAGCAACGCCCCCGTGTCCGACGAGCTGATTCCTGAGACCCTGGAGTTGGATCGCCAGCGGCTTGGGCGGCTACATTCTCAGGCATTTCGGATCGTTGCCACGGCGTCCATACTCCTAACGGCCAAGAACCTGCTCAAACGTGACGTGCGGTCTCAGTGGAAGGCCGAGGCGGACCGAATCCTGTCCCTCGACTTCAATGAGATCCAACCTGATCGGGTCCAGTCCATCTTAGAGTCTACCCACCCAATGCCTCCTAGTGCGAGCGCCCAATTGGCAGCCACCATTCGACGAGTGCTGGCGCCAGTAGGTGCCGCCTGCGCCGCTGCCGTACCGGCGGGAGTGACGCAGACAACAGTCGAGATTCAAACAGAACCAGACCCGTCGGGACCGTCGGCTGCCTCCTCATCTACCGTGTCTGAACCTGCAGGATCCATTGGCTCTGCAGGATCGAGCGGGAGCGCGACCAATGCTGCCAGCTTTACGGACCCGGTGGCGCGGTTGATCTTGTCGCGTCTACGAGCTCACATTCTCTCTCGTCTGAGCGCGTCTAGCGCCAGTGAGAGGGTGCGGGCCACCACTACGGCTAGCCAAAGTCTGGCAGGAGCTGGTATGCCCGAGTTCGTGACAGAGGTCGGGCAATTGACCGAGGAGTTGGAGAAGATGCGTGAAGTGGACTGGTTATGTCATGGCATGATCTACGATCGCATCTTGGCCTAGAGTGTTTTTGACTTCGATATGAAGCGTGATTTCAGCTGTATATTTCGGGCTGCTAAGGGCTTTTTCCCTCTCTCTCTCTTTTTCTCTCTGTCTTTTGCTCTCTTTCATCTGTTTATTTTATGGTCTCTTATCTTTACTTGGGCTTCTTTGGGAGGGGTTTCTGTCTATAACAGGAGGGTAGAATAGGATTTGGAGGCGCAGAGTTGATATTTCTGTACCTAATGTGGACGCATATCTATCTATAGGTTTCGCAGCTTGTATCCCCGGCGCTTAGCTCGGAAAAAAAAAAAAAAAGACTGACTTGAAGAATACAAGCTCGCCCAATACTGGTTACGTACAACCGCCAACTGGTGAGTTTACCGCATTGTGACTAATCGCCGATCCACCGCAACGACGACATTATCAGTCAGTATGCGTCCCCACCAGATCCCACGTTATCCCCTCTTCTTCCATTGAACCATTCGCCGAATTTTTGGGAGCCTGAGTAGACATTCGCGGCAGGAAACAAAGGTGGCTCTCTGAATATAGACTGGAATACCTTCAAAGATCACCATGGCCGCCGTCGACCACCCCGCCTCCTCTCTCCCCCACCTCCAGCTGCTGTCGGATCTGACCCCGCCTTCGCTCGAACGCACCTGGTTAACAGCACCACACCCCCGACTCCCCATCGTTGCCACCTGCAGCTCTGACAAGACAGTGCGTGTCTACTCCCTCACCAACTTCCGGCTCCTCTCCACCATCTCCGGCGGACACAAGCGCAGCGTCCGCACAGCAGCATGGAAGCCACATGTCCAGGGCGAAAGCGTGCTCGCGACGGGCAGTTTCGACGCCACCGCGGGCATATGGCGTCGATGGGACAGTTACGGACAGACCACGGGTGATGAAGGATGGGGATTGGGTCAAGAAACCACCACCAACAAGAGCGAGTCACAAGAAGAGCAAGCACAAGAAACCGACATTCTCCGTCAACAGCAAGCCACACACAACGAAAACGACGGCGCAGATGATGAAGACGAAGAATGGCGTTTTGCCGTCCTCCTCGACGGACATGACAGCGAGGTCAAGTCCGTCTCGTGGTCCCCCTCTGGAATGCTCCTTGCGACATGTTCGCGGGACAAATCGATCTGGATCTGGGAGGATCTGGATGACGGGGACAACAACTTCGAGACGGTTGCGGTGATGCAAGAGCACGAGGGAGATGTCAAGTGTGTGGCATGGCATCCGGTGGAGGAGTGTTTAGCTAGTGCAAGCTATGATGATACGATTCGTATTTGGCGAGAGGATCTAGATGATTGGGGACAAGTTGCTTGTTTGCGGGGTCATGAGGGGACCGTGTGGTTTGTGGATTGGGAGAGTGTGGAGAATGCACCGGTTTGTTTGGAAGAGGCGCTGTTGGCGCAGTGGAAGGAGAATGTGAAGAGGGAGTTGTCGGGTCCGCGTATTGTGTCATGCTCGGATGATCGCACCGTTCGGGTTTGGAGGAGACAACCTAAGGAGCAGGCCGCTGCTGGGGGCACAGGCATGCCCAGTATTTTGCGTCCGACGGGCTTGGATGAGACTTGGGAGGAGGAGACGGTTTTGCCCAAGGTGCATGATCTGGCTGTTTATGCGGTGGCTTGGAGCAAGCGTACGGGGTTGCTGGCGTCTGTGGGTGCGGATGGTCGCATTGTGATCTATGAGGAGCGCTTGGTGTTGGTGGATGATGCTTCTGCTGGCGACTCGCAGCCTATGGATACGGATCCGCCTGCGGCAGCGGCCAAGGGAGTTGTGCGGACGGAGTGGGTAATTCTCGCGGTGTTGCCGGGGGCGCATGGTATCTACGAAATCAATCATGTGGCCTGGGCGAACCGTGCGGATCGCGATCGCGATGTGAGCAAGGAGGAAGAGGTTTTGGTCACTACGGCCGATGACGGCAGTGTTAAGGTGTGGTCGCTGAAGCGGTGATTTCTTGGAGTTACAATTGGATACCGACTATATCGAGGTGTATACAATGTGTATAGGTGGATGAGACTGTTGGCTTATAGACGGGAGGAATTTCCGCCTGGCTATGTATCAGGAAGCGGTCATAAACTTTGTTCATGTCTAAATGTTAAATGATGCCAGGCAGCCAGCTAGATAAAATGATAAATGCACATATAAGGAGGCACGTCCTTTCGTGGCCAAGAAAACAAAAACAAAAGGCAAAGACCCCAAGCAAGCCATACACCTACACCATCACAAGTTTACCCAACCAAAGATGAACTAGGATAGATTATGACTGCCCCCGGCTCGGGAGGCCTGTTGAGAATGCTGTCGTGAAATATCATCCTCGTCGCTGTCCTCGCCCACGGCGTAGTGTTCTCTTTCGAGGTCTGGAGAATGAAGGTCATCGAGCTCCGCCTCGTCGAAATCCCCCGCTTCGACGTCTGCGCCTCCCGTGCGCTTGTTGTGGAACCGCTCGAGAACAGAGCTTCCGCTCATGTCCTTATGCCAGACGCCCCGGTATCCCTGGTGACGCCGGCGGCTGCGCCAGATGAAGAAGCCCCAAACTAATACACCGATAATGACGACGAGGAGAACGGCTTCGCCTGACTTGGCGTAGGCTTTCCATTCCGTCTCCTTGATCCTCTCCTTCTCCTGCTCCTCCGCCGCGGTGCTGTTGGGATGGCCGCCCACCGACGTCTGGGGCAGCTTCTCGCCGTCAATGCGCGAGTCGGCGGGGCTGCCTCCGATGCTCGCGATATCGACATTCATGAAGCGATCTAGCATGTCCCGGCTCTGACGAGGAAGGTCGTAGGGAACCATATGGCTTGCGTTGTAGATGAGCACGTAAGTCAGGTTTCTGGCATATTGATAGATACCCGCCGGCTCGCCTTCGAAACTCCAGTCGTGTCGAGGAGCCCAGACGCCAGGTGAGGTCTCGAAACCCGTGCCTCCGTTCCACTTCATGTTATTGATGAGCTGTTCCGTTCCAACATGGTTGCAAATCAGGTCCTTGTCTCCGCTGAAAAGGAGGATTTGAAGTCCCGATTCCAGCAAGCCGGGAAGTAGTTGAACCGAGGGCGGGGACTTTTGCGGATTGAAAGCGCTGCTCACTGCACCTGAACACTCCACCCAGCCAGACTTCTTCTCCGGATTGATGTTAAGCGCTTTAACCACATCTTCCCGCTGCAGATAGGGCTTCACGTCCTCCAGGTCGGTGGGCCAGTTCATACCGCATGCATCGGTGGTGTCACGAAGGCGGATGTCATACATGTTGAGACATTTGTTGTCTTCGACCGTCTTATCCAACAGAGCATTCATGACCTTCTCGCAGTCGTTGAGGTGGACCTTGTTCTTGCCAGTTTCCAGCCTGGACTTACAGACTGACTGTAAAACTTCGAGTTCCTTCGCGGTCCGGCTGCCTTCCTTGATAAGGCCTTCTTCATATGCGTAGGGCAAGTAGGACATGTACTGTTCATTAGGAGAAATCCAACCATTGCCAATCAATAGGCCTTTTAGATTCCACGAAGCGATGGTCTTCCCTTGAACGTTCTTGTTCCGTTCCTGGATGGCTTTGGCGATGTATGGAATATGCTGACCGGCGTAAGACTCGCCGGCAATGTAGATCTGTCGCAGATGTTAGAACAGAATCCGTGAAGGTGCAGGACTAGGGCAGCATAGGTGATTGCAGCATACATCATCGCGTTCATACTCCGGAAATAATCTGAACCACTCTTCCAGAAAGACAATGAACTGAGCCGACATCTCATCGAGCTCATGAAGATAGCTGTCCGTGTTGACATAACTGAACCCGGTTCCGACTGGCTGATCGACGAACAACAAATTGGCGAATTCGTCCCAGGAACCCTCATTATAGGTCAAGGTTTCATTGTCCTTCAGGCGATACGGACCGACCTCCATCAACGCGCCGTCCATGGAACTACATCCGGGACCACCGTTCAACCAGATCACAGTCCGCTGGCGGTTGGCAATATGGCGATTCTGGTAGTGCCAGAAGAAAAGATTTCCATTGTTCTGTGGATCCACCTCAATATGGCTGCGCGTGGAGGCAATAAGTCAGTATATAGGTGCTAAGCGGACCGTTCCGGGACAGCGAAGCTTACCCGGCATGCATCTTCAGCAAGGGCCCCTCGGGGGCACCGGGCAAGGAGTGAACATAATAGTCTGCGGCCGATTTGGCTGACACCAAGGACGGGCTCAGAAAAAGGAGCGTCGAGAGCAACCAGGACGCCATGGAGGGAATGGAAGTGGTCTCCCCGCGGAATGATAAGGAGACCATCAGTAGGCGATGGGTACTTGTAATACGGCGGCGGCGGCTGACCGGGGTAGTAATAGTAATAGTAGTAGTAGTAGATATTGCCGAAGACGGAGCGGAGGAAACGGTCCCAAGCGGACTTGGAGTCGCGCTCAAGGAGTCATCGAAATTTAGCCAACTGGGCCTTGCACTTTTCGCTTACCCGTTACCTTGGGGGCGGAGGTAATGAGCAGCACAATGTCGGGGATAACGTCGGCGGAGAGGACCGGGAGGGAACCTGGTTCAGGAACAGAGAAGGTCAAGGCCAGAGGAAGGCGGGGTAGGAGTTAAGACCTCTAGCACAAGAGCCGCTGTCCAGACGCGCGCCAGACTTGAAGGTCAAGAGATTTGAAAGGGGGAAAGGGGAAGAGAGGGTGAAAGATGGGTAAGGAAGTGGTTGAGAGAAGCTGAGGGAGAGAGTGGATAGAGAGAGCATAAGAGGATGGCGTGGCCAGACGGGGCGGCGCTCGGTATGGCCCCGTATCAGCCGGTATCTGGGCGATCCCGTTACGATTATTACGCACCCGGAAGAGGCGTGAGAAGCAGCCCGATGGAAGGGATGAAACCATTCTGATACCGTTTCCAGACCGTCCCAGCCCATCGTTGCCTATTTGGGGGCTCTATAGGTTGCTTCTATAGAAAGACTCGAATCCCGTCGGAGTATCTGGTTCTATGGCTTCTTTGACTGTGTGTCTCTCATGCATTTTGAATCGGCCAAGCAGAACGCCACAATGTCCTCGTGGCAATGGATCTTGCTTTTCTTTTCCGAAGCTATCCGTGATGTAGCTCTCGCGGGTAATGATAGCCAAGAGTTCGCCCGACTCCGGTCAGTCCTTCATGTCCATGACTTGGCCCTTCTTCATCTAGCGGGTCTAGGGCTCATAGCTTCTTATTATATTTCCTCTTTAACTATCCTGTACAGAGATTTATTTTCGGACAAGCTACTTCCGTCGCTGGTATACCGGATTAAACAAGATCATCGATGCCCTGATCCGCGTCCTTTTTAATCAAGTCCACCATGCCCTGAGATATGTCAGTGATATCGTGAGATGAGACATGATGACTCTGTGGTGAGTAGTTCTCCCTTCCATGACGTACCTTGGGCATGATTGGCTCGCCATCATCGCCCTTGACATAGCGAAACGGCATCTCGGTGCGTTCATGCTCGTTGATTAAGATTTCCGGGTAGTCAATGTACGGAATTTGCTCCAGGGGCACTGTCCCGGGGTCAGCTCTTGTTTCTCAGCTCATTGTCCGGAGAAGCAGGGGTAAACCTTTCTCATGCACGACCATGCGCGTAACACGCACCGCTGTGTCCGTGGTCATCTGCTTAGGGCCCAGTCTTCTTCCAGCATAGCCCTTCTTGCGCAGTTCGGAAGTCCGGTCTGAATCCATTTCGTCAACAGCCTGAACCTCGTAGTTACTGCCGTTTCAAGGGAGAACTTACCACGAGGAGGATCGTCGCCTGAAGACCAGCGGATTTTGATGGTTAGCTATCCCCCCAAAACTTATAGGGCCGACTCATGGCTCCAACAGTCCAGGCTCGATCATTAGAAACACTCACCAAGGATTCCTCCGAAAAGGAAGACATCAAAAGTGTCTGCATCAGCGGGACTCAACTCCACCGTGGCAGCCGGGTCCAGCAGGCAGACTCTGGACTTCCGATCCGCGAAGATTTGCTCGACACTGCGATGCTCCACCCCCAGGCCTGGGGTAGCAGCCAGGTCTTCTGGCATCTGCAAGGAGGTGGGCACCGAACTGAGGAGGAATTTGCTCCCCGCGGCGTGTGATTCACGGGCAATGCAGCCATACTCCAGGGCGGACCAAGCGCCCAGTTCGGGGTCCAGATGCTCGACCACAATGGTCACGGGTTCGGCAGACAAACCTTGCGCGGACATGGTATCGCGATTGGAAGGGTTTGATGGATCCTGCAGTTGAACAATGGCTCTGAGCGTTTACAGTCGGGTGGGTGAATGTGTCGAGCAGTGGTCTGAACCCGACCAAAAGTGTGTCGTTCCAGGTAGTTATACCTTGTTCTTCTTTTCCTTTCCTTGGTTGTCAGAATATAATAGCAGCCAAGAATTATGGGAATAGACAAAATGCCCCAAAGTTCAGAATTATGAATAGTGTAGATCAGGGAGGAGACAGTGGGGGAAATCCTACGTGGAAACAATTCAAGGAGACTGGAAGAAGAGATGAGCGCGATGGTTCGTGGAGGGGCAGAAGGGAGAAGAGCTGCTGAATTTGATTCCGTTGAAGTTAATTCGAGGTTGAATACCGAGTAATATTAATACCACCCTGACAGTTCACCACCACCTCCTCCTCCACCTCCTCGTTACCACTCCCAGTTTACACTGTGCCTTATCTTCCATGTTACACCCAGAGCAGATTTTCTAACACAGAACTTCAAATAATAAAGAACCATGGGGTTTGTTGGACATTCTCTGTACCTGATTTCACAATGAAACATGGAGGGGTTGGTTAGGTTTGCTTTCTAATCGATAAACCGGCAACTTATCAAGGCGGACGATAAAAGACTATCTATCGATCGACTTGTACTGTAGAAAGCCAGAGTGCAACGGAGTACGTAGTTTGTGAGCAAGTCATATAACAACCGTGACCCCATTAAGGACAGCTGTCAAGCACATCTACGTAGAAATTATAGTGACCATGAAAAGTACTTTATTTAGTCCATAAAGCAACTCACTGAAACATAATCATAATCATGCTGGAAGTTGAGCTGCCGAACCGGTCGGTATTGGTATGTAACGGTATAGTCACGAGGGAGTGGAACCGTTCCAGAATATATCAGACTAACCCTGATGCAGATAGAACCATACTATAAGTGGAATAGTGGATATAGGTGGATCGACATTAGCGGAGAACAGGGTTGGTACTGAGACGGTCACAAACCAACCATCGGGCAGTGGCACCTCCCCCCAATTATGACGGGCAAGTCACTCACTCAGTCACTCACTCACTCACACTCTCTCTTTATCTTCTACTGCTTGACTTGCTCTTCTGCCTCTTCTTCCCACTTTCACTCTTCTCCCCCCACCCCCCTTTTTCTCTTCTTTCTCTTATCTTCTCGATTTCACCAACTCAGTTCACTTTCAATCTATCTTCTTCATTCTCTCTTGCTTTCACGCCCTTTCCTTCCCTTCCCCCCTTTGGTCCAGTCAGCTGGACCAATATATTGGTGTCGTCCCATCCTGTGGAATCTATACTTTCCTCCCCGCCATCGGTGGGGTTTCCTGACGACACTCCCTTCCAGTGACCGCGCCTCACCCAGTCCTGTCCCCCTCAACGACCTAACAACCTGACCTGGTTTTTGCCCAACTCTTTCTTCTTCTATTCCTCGTCACCGATTTTGTTCTCTTTCTTTTTATTTTTTTGACCCCCTGTCAATCCTCGACTATAATTCTGGTTCGCCAACATGAATCCCCATCAGCAGAACAAGATCGATACTAGCGTGAGTCTTTCCCGGGCGACTAACCTCGCGGAAAATCATCTTCCTCATTGGACTGACAATGACTTTGTGTCTGTTTAGAAAATGAGCCCGGATGAGCAGCGGCTTTTCCGCCTCTATGGCAAGATGCCCACCAAGAAAGACCTCCTGCAGAACAAACTGAAGGTATGCCAGCTTGATTGTCCTCGAAATCCGTCCATAAACCCTCTAATCGCGGGTTTGTTGCTATCTAGGAGCGCAAATACTTTGACTCGGGTGACTACGCACTCAGCAAGGCTGGAAAGGCTTCGGACGTCGGTGTCACCAACATCGGCTCCCAGCATCCCGTCCCGGAGAACATTCCTCATCTGACTGCTACCTCGCCTGGTGCTAACAACCCTGCGGCTGCAAGCAATGGCGGCAGCATTAGTGCTCAGGGTGGCCAGCAGATCCCTGGTAGTATCAGTGGCCATCCGGGCTCCATCGGATTTCAGAGCCGAAGCCCGGTGAAGGAGGCAAGTTATCTGCAACGGGAAACAAGTGCGGATGAGACCGAGGAGGCCGAGAAGAAGGAAGATGACAGCGTGAGCCCACCCCCTGCGCGTGGCGGTGTTCCGATCCGGCAATAAATACCTGAGCTGTCACCTGTGTTCTCCTTGCCCCATTTGCAATTGTGTCGCATCATGTCTCTGTTTTCCCCGACGGTGGTGGTGGTGGTGGCATCAAAAGAGCCTGGCGCTATGGATCGATTCTAATGTATTTACGACATTTGTTTCCCTTCTTCCCTTTTCCCCCTTCCGTTTTTAGCGATTTCTGTGGACAAAACAGAATGGCTTTGTTTCAAAGCCGGCGGCAATGAAGTTGCAAGGGCGGCGGGAGCCGAGGCTCGGTCCAGTCAGGGCCTGTTTATCAGAAGCTCAACCCGGAGCTGTGCTCTAAGCCTGTCTACTTGGATGAAGCTCGATTACTAGACCCGTCCTCTCAGGATTCGTTGCTCGTGATACCGGCTTTGAGGTCACCTCAATGCTTTTCGCTTTGAAGCTTCTTCTCTTCTCTGTCAATATCAGCTGCAGAACATACATTGGTCATTTGATGGTCCAGTTATTTCACAGGCCCCTTCCTGATGCGTTCATTCGTCCGCTCTTATGTGTGTGATACCGCACAGAACATGAGATCCTTTTTTTTTTTTTTTTTTTTTTTTTTTTTTTTTTTTTTTTTCGCGCATACTGTCGTCATTTTATGGGTAAAGGAGTGCATGAGTGCGTGCTGGATACACGGTTCATTTCGGAGATGGCAATGCGCCTGGCATCTGTTATATTCCTGACGTACGTTGGCAAACGAGCCCTCAGCAGGGCCAAAATGCAATTGATGGTTCTTCGTCCGTGTCGCGGTATGTGATCCCATGACGCATGTGCGGATCTCTACATTGATAGGGTAGACGAAATGCATGTCTGATGCATTCACTATCCTATCCGGTTAACAGGGCCGGATAGCTCACCTGGGGTACCAGCAACTTGATTCCGCTCAGGTGATATTCTGCGCTATGTGTAACATGAAGATGACCAATACAAGATCGCTACAGGCAGGGGGAAGACATTTCACCTTCCATCGCAAAACTGTCATTGGGTATAAGAACTCGTCTAAGGCACACAAAAGGCAACAAAGCCTGGGACGGGGCAATACATGCTGTTATATGATCCTTGATGGCGAATTGAAAAATAATAAATTGACGACTCAGCAAAACGACTGGGGTATAATAACAAGAGTGGCTCGCAAGACCATAGTGTAAATGAGAGAGGACCAGTTTTAAAAAGGAGCGATGAAAGGCAGGAGGGTACCTGAAACCCCAGTGGAAGGGGGTCCACAGGGTGTTAGAAGGGACAGCAAGGCAGCAAAACAAGCCGGGTGCACCATAACTGAATCCGCCATCGCGGGCGGGGTGCTCATGACCGACACAGACTATACAGGATCATTCCCATCCAGCTGGAGGGGCAATGATTGCATGGCTTTGGTATAGCTGTGTGAAGGGTGTGGTCGATAGCTGTTTGCTGCCCCGTAACCTGGATTTCCGGAGCGATATACTCATTCAGAGTAATTGCTGCAAGTAGGGCCAAGGGAAAAGCTTTTGTGCTTCCCGTCCCCATTCAAAGAAATGTAAGAGTATCTGAGATAGCAAAATGACAACGCTGGCCTTCGAAGTGCTTTTTCTAGAATCTCCAGCGAAAAGCATGCTCTGCGAGGCTGGCGTAGTCTAGCCTGAAAAGTCGAAGAATCCGGGCAATATTGGCCTCAGCCGTAGGTTTCGCAAGACGTCCATGTCCGGCTCGATAGTTGTAAATCTGAAGAGCCAAGCATATCCGATGAGGGCTGCGGTATCTCCGCAGTCCAAGTCGACAAGATGCCAGAAGGTCGCACCGCAGATATTTGACAGCTCCATTCAGTCGGTCTTCCAGTGGCCAGCGAGTCCGGAGTCCAGGTCGTCGTTCTCACCGAGGTATAACTCAACAGCGTACAGGGCCATGGTGCCAGCGAGGTTGGCCCACCGCCAAAGGTTTCCACCGCCAGCTCCCTGAGTGCTCCACCACTCGCCACTGCCACCCATTGCTTGAGAGGTAGAGGCGAAGTGCTGCATCAAGAGACTGGTGTATACAGCGATCAGGATCGACGGAGAGAAGTAGCTGAGTACGCCCAAGAACTGGCCCGCCGCATCGGAGTCATCCAACGATGCTTCTTGGGAGAGAGCTCGTGCACCCGCTTCGCGGACAGCGGGTATGATGCGAGTCGATGCGTACAGAACAAGGATCCGGTATGTGAGCGAGATCAATACGGAGGGGGTGACGGCACCGAATACCGCGGTGATGACGTTGAAGGCGGCGTGGATGATGGAGGGCAAGGTGGACAAGGCGTGCATCAGGGTCGTGTAGGAAGCCATGATAATAGGAGGAAGCGGTGGGAAATCCCCGGCTTGAGCGGGAGAAGGGACTTGCTCCACAGGATGTGACGGCTGGTAATCAGTGAAGATCTGGTAGATGCAAAGAACGATGTATGCGAACAGTAGAGAGCTTTCTACTGGGTTTCCTCGCCCACTACCAATACCCCACGCGCAAAGGATCACAGCACAGGTGATGGATACCCCGATTAAAGCGGCATCAACATTTGAGATCTCGGGAAATTGGAGGACTCGCCACAGGAAGTATACCGAGCTCGATATGATGGAGGCGGAGAGTACCAGGAGACCGATCTAGCGAAGCACGAATTAGCAAATAAGCACCCCACAAAATGTGGACTGTGGAGTGACGTGGACATACCATCCAACTATCGCTTCGCCCACCACGGTTGACAAGCCAGCGGGTAATCTGCCCTGCAGCCTGTATGACCAATAAGCTGCAGAATCCTTCAACCAGCTGGAAAACTGGGGTCGACCATCTCAGCAGTTTATCCCAGTTCCCGATAGTCACTGATTCTACCAGCCCATCGGGCCCAAACAGCCACTCCTGGATCGATGAGTCGTGGGCTCTCTTGCCCGTGAAGGTCCGCTCCACCCAAGAGCCAGCATTATCGGTATCGATCGAGAAGCGGTTCAGCGACCAGATAAGCAGAATCGGAATAATGAGCCATTGCGTCGAGCTAATGACGACGATCAGGGAGGAGCGGAGCCATGACCGATCAGGCGTAGTGAGGCGCAGAAGCGAAAATAGGAAGTAGAAGGTGGCCAGGGACAAGGAATAGGCCAGACCGCATGTTTTCCCACCCACATCAAAGGCGAGGGGAATGGAAGAGACGGTGACGGCCAGAAAGACGGCCGACGAAAGGGCGCGGAAGAGCCACATCGGACAATATGGCCCAGGGCTACTGGACAGGGATCGCGCGCGAGAGAAGCAGATGAGGCACGGGGAGGGTCAAATGTGCTGAAAGAGGGAGCGAGTAGGTACGGACGGACGCGGTGTCAACTTAATAGGTTAGACAGCCTCCAAGAAATAATCTTGGGGTGGAAGCGCGAGAGTGACGAAATCCCGATTTAAGGATACATGAAGCCCGATTTCCCGGATTCTAGACTGGGTTTTCAGCTCGCTGGCGATGCTAGCTTGGTCTATGAAGGAGAAGAAAAAAAGTTCTCCTCTTCTTTCGAGACGATGTAAGAATTTGATCTTATCACTTAAGCGGGACGGAATATGATGATGGATGATGATGGGATGGGACTGGGCCTGAACTGGCTGTGGCACGTGCAAAGGATAAATAGTGTCAGACACGCCAACCGATCGCTGGACAGTTTCCTTTTTCTTTTTATTTATTTTTTCCCGGGCAGAGCCACTGACAGAGGCGCAAAAGCTTAACAGCCGCAGCGACTCGGGATGGACAGAAAGTAGAGGCACAAAAACCAGGAAAGGGGCGATGAAGCCGGGGGGCGCAGACCGAGTTTAGGTGGGCAATTCGACGATAGTCACAATAGTAATAATAATAATAATAATAACACTAACTTAATAACACCACATCCACTCCAGCCGTTTAGCGTAGAACGGAAGGCGGTGGAGCTGGCCAGATGCTTAGCCGGCTGCAAGTAGCGGTCAGAAGGGGAAATAAGAAGCAGCAGGAAGAAAAGATGATGCCCAAACTGGTGGAGATGGTTGAGATGGCTGAGATGAAGCAAATCTGAAGAGATGAATATCAACGGAAGAGCACCGAAGCTGGCTGAATCGTTCTTCAGGATAACATACAGCATACATACAGTATACAGTACATCCATCTGGTAGCAGGTTACATACACGGATTTCCTCTTCAGGACTAGTTCTTCCCCTCTCTTTCACATGCTTCCGTTTAGCCCTTGCGATAGAAGCCCTAAAGAGCCGCCCGATGAGGTCAAGCGGCAGTTGCAAACTCGCCCAGGTCTTTTCCTTTTGTGGAAGGCGCTGTTCTTCCGGCCAACCAATCATGAATCACAGATACCAAACCGATCCCCCAATCCAGACCCCTCATAGACTGGTTCTTTCTCCAAAAGGTAACTTACTGTAGTATCCCGATTACCTACATTACTTTTACTTACTATACAGCAATTTCCATTTCTTGACCTTCTTCCATCTTTCCCTCCGCACTGCTGTTCATTGTTATATGCTCCGCTGGCGTCGATTCTTCACCATGGCCGAAACTGCTGCGAAGAAAGTCAAGACCTCCTCTCCCTTGATCGGAACTCACAAGTAAGTGCTACGCGCAGAAGCTTCTTTCCCCGGCTTCCCCTCCATTAATAGATTTGCGATTCGCTGACTCTTCCTCCTTCCCCTGCGCAGTGGTCACTTCCACGCCGATGAGGCTCTTGCTGTCTATCTCCTCCGTCTTCTGCCCACATACTCCTCCTCTCCTCTCCTCCGGACCAGAGACCCCGCTCAATTAGCTACCTGCCACACCGTCGTCGACGTGGGCGGAGAGTACGACGCCGCCAGCAACCGCTATGATCACCACCAGCGCACTTTCGCAACCACCTTTCCCAACCATAACACCAAGCTCTCCTCTGCGGGATTGGTGTACATGCACTTCGGTCGGGCCATCATCGCCCAGCACACCTCGTTGCCCTTGGACCATGAGGACGTGACTCTCCTGTACGAGAAGCTTTACACCGATTTTATTGAGGCCATTGATGCCAACGATAATGGCGTCTCCGCCTACGACCCCGCCGCTATCTCCGCTGCCAACATCCAGAAGCGCTTCAAGGATGGCGGAATCACCATCACCTCCGTGGTGGGTGACATGAACAACCCGGACCCCACCTGCCCACCTGGGGAGCCTCAGGACGAGGATAGTCTGTTCGCCAGAGCCAGTACGTTCATTGGAAACGTCTTTGCTCGCAAGTTGCACCACGCCGTTTCCTCCTGGCTGCCTGCGCGGACCACCGTCGGCGCTGCTTACCGTTCCCGTCGGGACGTTCACCCGTCCGGCCGGATCATCATCCTGCCCCAGGGTGGTGTGCCCTGGAAGGAGCACCTCTACAACTTCGAGAAGGAAGCCTCTGGATCAGAGGAAACCAACCCCGATGAAGAGGCTTACTATGTCCTGTACCCCGAGAGTGCGACAGAAGGTTCGAAATGGCGTGTGCAGTGCGTCTCTGTGAATGAGGGTAGCTTCGTGTCCCGCAAGCCTCTTCCTGAGGCGTGGCGGGGTGTCCGCGATGCCGATCTCGATGGCGTTATGGCTGCGGAGGCTGAAAAATCTGGAAAGCCCAAGGTGCCCGAGGGTGCCGTTTTCGTTCACGCCAGTGGCTTCATTGGTGGCCACCAGACCAAGGAGGGTGCCCTTGCCATGGCCACCCGTGGTCTGGAACAATAAGCTGCAGATTTAATTAACTGCCGCGGATGAATGCAAAGTATGATAGAATCTATGAGTACATACTTCTTGTCATGACGGTACGAGGTCCAGTTAGGAAAACTATCTAAAAAGTTATATTGTTTGCCAAAGTGCTGGAAAGTCAATGCATAAGGCATCGTTCAATCGTAACCTTTATAACCGGCTTCTTCGTAATAAGACATTAGATATCAGGGCGATACCGTACTGGTCACCCATGTAGCATTTATTTCAACACTTGGCCGGGCAGGTTCCATTCGACCTTACTGATTCCTCCATTGCCCATCAGCCATAGCGTCTTCAGTTCCGGACCCGTCCAAGCGAAATTCTGGACCGTATAGTTGGTCTGAACCGTCAAGAGCAGCTCCCCAGAGGGGTCGAGAACGTCGACACCTCGACCGCACCCCGTCAAAATATACCCGTTCGCTGCCACTTTCAGCCCGTCGGGGACAAAGCCTGGTGCCAGATAAATGGCCCGTTTGTTGTAAGCGTGGGCACCATCCTCGCTCACGTCAAACGCGTAAATAGTCCTACAGAAGGACACAAGAGATGAGTCAGTCAACTTTCGGGTCTTCGAGTATATCAGAAATCAGGCTCTACATACCGCCGATGCGTGGTATTAAACGTACTGCCCGGATGGCCATATTTAGGATCAATAGGAGCGCTGACTGCCGCAGTATCGCTGATGTACACGATAGATCCATCCGGAGTGAAAGCGATCCCGTTTGGCTGACCGATTGAGTCGTCCACAACTACCACTGCCCCAGAAGAAGTGTTATATCTGTAACTAGCGCAGGGAAGCTGGGGAGGGGTGTCTGTGATATCATTGAACCAGGAGTATTCTGTACATCGGGGTATATAATTATTAGCGAAATCCACATAGCATATGGCAGATGGTAGAACTTACGTGGATCTGTGAACCAGATATCGCCGGTCTTGGGATGCACGGCGAGGTCGTCAATTGTGTTGAAGTAGTATCCAAAGTAATTGTTGACCAGGCTTGTTGTCTTGTTTGTCTCGGGATCTAATGTTCTAAGGGAGATCCGTTGTTCAGTCCCGCCAATCGATCTGTTACCGCCAGATGCGCCCCAGATGATTTTGCCGTCATGGAATGTTCCGCCATTGGGGGCATAGACAGGTGGATCGGAGAGGTATTCTGATAATGTTGGAGGATCTTGGTTGAGATCAATGACCAGCTGCGGGAGATAGCCCGGCGGCGGCGCGAGCTGCGAGAGGTACAGCTTGTTCTGCGATGCCACGTAGACGGGGGCTTCGTGCACCGCATCGTTTACGGCAAAAACGTATTCGTAGCTCGGGTTCGAGCCTAGAATATCGAGTCCTTTCTCTTTGTTATACACAATGAAATCCGCGGTCTTGACGTCTTGCAGCACTGTGCCGTTTGCTACGGTGGTATCACCGAAGGTCGTGACGGTGTCCATGGTGCTTACATTGCGAAAGAAGTGGTAGCTATTCTGATTGTTAATGACTGCCCGGTCGATTCAGCAAGCCTTTACGAGGGACTCACGGAAGCACATTTGCATAGCGATTGACGCAGACGACCGAACGGCCACATTTCTCTGAGATGGGATGGGTAACCCCAGTTTGGGCGTGAACGAGACTGCCCGTGAATGATGCGAGCAACAGCAGAAGTCTTTGCATTGTGGGTTGTATTTCTATATAGATTCGTCAAGTCGACGTCTCGAAGGGATGAAGGAGGGCCCAAATACAGCCTTTCATTCCGATCAACAGATCCCCCGGTGGGCTATACAGTGATATTTGTAGATCATCCATCGGAAGATGGCGCGGGTAATTTGAAAAGAGGAAGGAGTAATAAACGGGATGATCCCGACTTTTGTTCCAAGCCAAGTCAGTCCCAGACATACACCGGGGATTGCCTCGGGGAGATTCGAGGTCTTCGGGGCGAGCTTTGGACGGATGCGGTAATTGGAAACCCTCCTCTTAGTGTGGGGTACAGACGAGTTTGGGGCACGATCATCACACCCCGGGGCCTTGTTTCCCAAGACAAGCCATCTCAATATTGCGGAGTGGCTTAGTATGTCTCGGCAGTCTGGTCCCCGAATGAGTTCCCAGGCTTGCGGCTATAGAGCAAGCAGCTTCCGGTGGCCTGTAATTCGGAGAACGTCCGAGAAGGGCCGAGGGAGATGCTGCAAAAGAAGCAGGGTGTTTGTCCACCCCCAAAGCAGATCCTTGCCATTGAAAAAAGAAGCAAGCAAGTCATCCACTAATGCCGGATATTCAGAGAACTAATGTCCTCAATGCTGCCAGTGCCATCACCAGACACCGGAAGGTCTTTGGCGTCGGGATGGATATCCGAGTTGTCTTCCCTCTCGCCCAGGGCACGCTGGATCAACTTGGCTTTAACAGCAGCGCCTTTCATGCGCTCATCTACATCATTCACCGCTTCCTCCGTGTTCACCATAGGCAGGGAAGCGGGGTCTACCAGTTCCAGCAGGATCTCGATGTTCTTGGCTAGTCTGGAGCTAGACGAAAAGCTCGACATTTCCTTGCAAATGGCGGGATCCAACAAGGAGAGTTCTTCCTGCTTGTGATCACTCTCCAGGGCTCCGTTGTTCTGGCCATCAGACTCGGCCTTTCCCGACAGCTGCGAATCTGCAAGCCGTTGAGACCAGACCAGGGCTTTGCCATATAGTCTTCCCAGTTCGAGGAACTTCTCAAACCCTTTCTCGACAGCAAACACACTACCCTCTGTATACCCAGCTTGCGCACCATCTGCTGCACCCAGATCGTAGCCTTCTTGGTAGAACTCTTCCTCCAGGTCAAGCAAACTCTCAAGTAGGTTATTGTTCTCCATGATCCCGGTTCACGATGAACAGAGAAGAAGGGAAGGAAATGGTGGAAAGACGGTAGAAAAGTAGAGAACGCGACAGTGGTATCCTGCAGTCGAGTGGGGGCAAAGGAATGGAATAGTAGGAGATGATGAAAGGGAAGCCCCAAAAAAAGTGCGGAGAGAAGCGGCCGAAAGCGATGAAGCGATGAATCATCCGCACCCGCGAAAAAGTTGCAACATTTCTACCCCTCCAATCCCGCTGATAGTCCAATTCCCCGCCATCCGCCTCCAAGTCCATCATGGCTTCAGACTCCAAGATCTTGCCCAAGAAGGGCCAGCGCAATATCCTGGTCACCAGTGCTTTGCCCTACGTTAACAATGTGCCTCACTTGGGTAACATTGTTGGTTCCGTTCTCAGTGCTGATGTCTTCGCCAGGTACTATCTATCCTGCTTTCCAACACCCCCCCCCCCACCACCATTGCTTCCTTTGTCTAGCCCCTGTCGCGCGCTCTCCCACTAATGTCATTCCTACATTGCTAACACCCTGTTCTTCAGATTCCACAAGGCTTGCGGACATCAAACACTGTACATCTGTGGTACCGATGAATATGGAACGGCAACGGAGACCAAGGCTTTGGAGGAGAAGGTGACCCCGGAGGAGCTGTGCGCCAAGTACAACAAGATCCACCAGCAGGTGTACGAATGGTTTGAAATTGGCTTCGATCACTTCGGACGCACCCCGACCCAGCAACACACCGAGATTTCCCAGGCCATCTTCAAGAAGCTGTATGAGAACGGCTATCTGACGGAGAAGACGGCGGAGCAGCCGTTCTGTGAGACACATGGCTCTTTCTTGGCGGATCGTTACGTGGAAGGTGAATGCCCTCGGTGTCACTACGACGATGCTCGTGGAGACCAGTGCGATAAGTGCGGTCACCTCTTGGATCCCTTCGACCTTATCAACCCCCGCTGCAAGCTTGATGGCGCCACCCCCGTCCGCCGCTCGACGAAACACATCCACCTTCTCCTCGACAAGCTCCAGCCTCAGATCGAAGAATGGTCTAAGAATGCCATCGAAAAGGGCGACTGGCCTAAGAACTCGCGTGTCATTACCGAGTCTTGGTTGAAGGAAGGTCTGAAGGACCGCGGTATCACCAGAGACCTGAAGTGGGGTGTCCCGGTGCCTCTGGAGGGCTTCGAGACCAAGGTGCTTTATGTCTGGTTTGAGGCTTGCATTGGTTACCCCTCCATCACGGCCAACTATACCTCGGACTGGGAGCTCTGGTGGCGGAACCCGGAGGATGTTCAGCTGTATCAGTTCCTGGGCAAGGATAACGTTCCCTTCCACAGTGTTATCTTCCCTGGTTCTCAGCTAGGAACCAAGGAGAAGTGGACTATGCTTCACCACCTGAGCACCACGGAATACTTGAATTACGAAGGTGGCAAGTTCAGCAAGTCTAGAGGCATTGGTGTCTTTGGTACCAGCGCCAAGGAGACGGGTGTGCCCCCGGATGTGTGGCGCTACTACCTCCTGAAGAACCGTCCCGAGACTGGTGATACCCAGTTCGAATGGCGCTCCTTCGTTGAGAGCAACAACAGCGAGCTGCTGGCTAAGCTGGGCAACCTTGTCAACCGTGTCATCAAGCTTGTTACGGCATCCTACGGCTCGGTCGTTCCCGAGTTCACTGTCCCCGAGAGTTTCCAGCCTACCTTGGATGAAGTCACGGCTACTCTCAGACAGTACATTGAAGAGATGGAGGGTGCACACCTCCGCGCTGGTGTGGTGAGTGCGATGAAGCTGGCCGAAGCCGGCAACGGACTGATCCAGGCCAACCGCCTTGATAACTCGTTGATTGCCAACGAGCCCGAGCGTGCTGCCGCGGTTGTCGGTACTGTGCTCAACCTGATTCATCTCCTGGCCAGTGTTTTCTCTCCCTACCTCCCCGCCACCTCCAAGTCGATCAACGAGCAGCTCGACGTGCCGTTCGGCCTGATCCCCTCTCTGGAGGACATCAAGGACGGCTGGAAGCCGACTGCCATCAAGCCGGGTCACAAGATCGGCAAGGCCAAGTACCTCTTCTCTCGTATCGACCCCAAGAAGGCCGACGAGTGGCGCGAGATGTTCGGTGGTTCCCAGGCCGACCGCCAGAAGAAGGAAGAGGAGGCGGCTAAGGCAGCGGCCAAGAAGGCAGCAAAGGATGCCGCTAAGGCCAAGAAGAAGGAGAAGAAGGCCAAGGCTGCTGAGGCCGCTGCCGCTGGTGCTGATGCTGGCAGCAATGTTGAAGCCTCCGCCAAGGGAGGCGCCCAGGCTGTGGAGGTCACCACCGATAGCAAGAACGACGAGGCCGTTGAGAAGGTCGCCGATGGCGTGGCCCAGGTCACCATTCCCTCCTCCTAAACACATAGAATTCCCAGCCCCCCAATCCCGTCAAAAGACTTGGAAGACAGCTTCTATAGAGTTGCAGCGACTAGCGGACTCCCTTGATATCCTGTGCTGATGATTAGAGCGTTTTCTCTCTTTCCACTTCCTTCCGTTTTCCGAATCTGTCGTCGTTGTAGATTGTTGATGATCTACTGCTACTTCTTCTTCCTCTCTCTTCTTCTTGTCTTGGGATACTGTGTTGGTACTTGTGCAAAACATACTTTTTAAAAATGGAGTCGATATGAGATACGATGTTGGTGAAATGAGCGCAACGGTTGATGACTGACTGACTGATTGATTGATTGATGGGTTCAGTAGCTTTTTCGGTTTTGGATGTCTTGCTTTGGCTTCAAGTTTGTTAGTATCCCGCATAGTTTCAGTTCAACAGAACTCGACAATTCAACATGGGTTTCAATACAATCCAAACTCGTCATTTCTGCGCCAGGGTCTTGTTGTGGGCTCTATCCCCATCATCTACCATTCAATTACATAGCTCGAAAGGTATCTTCCGTCGCCAGCAGTTACAGTGGACTTCCTTCGATTTCAGGGAAGAGGACCCTGGAGAGACAACAGGATTAACCTGAATAAATCGCTCATATGCATTCCCAGAGAGTAATAATAAAATAATAACGACAAAAGAGTACATGATACGGGAAAAAGAAACAAAGGAAAAAGAAAAAAGCGGGACGAGCCAATCCATGTATAACCGAAGCATGATATTCCAGATGTATGAGCCCCGCCAAAAGTCCATTTGAAATCGAAAGGTTTGGCCTCCACGACGCCTCCATGTGCAGATCCCTTCCAACTACATAGCCTTCTCCCAATCCACTCCATTACCTCTTCCGGTTGTTTGGTCTAGGCTTCACTTCCTCTTGGCTGACAGGGTGCAGCATAACCTTGTTGGGCAGTTGCTGGGTGTTGGCGGAGTACCCCTTGCTCCAGTCGTAACTGACAGCGTAGGCGAAGATGTTGCCGTTGCGGTTGAAGGCAGTGCTGGAGATGGTACCGCCCACGGAGGGATATCCCTTTAGACGATGCTTGGCGTCCTTGTCCCAGAAGTGGAAGGTGCCGTCACTGCCGGCGGTGCTGAAGGTGCCGTGGACAGGGTGGAAGGAGATGGCGTTGACGGAGTAGATGTTGTTGACATCGCGCTGAGGAGTCTCACGGTGGCACTTGAAACTGAAGTTGTTGGAGGAGTCCTTGTCCTCGACATACTGGATCGCACAGCGGCCCTCGACACTGCCGACGGCGAACCCGGTGGCAGTCGAAAAGCAGCTGACTACCCGCGTCTGCCACTTGAGAGGGGACTGCATGGTTTTGTAGAATTTGGTGGGTTGGTCGAGGTTGATGACGTTGATATAGCGGTCTGCGGTGCCGACCACGAGGAGTTTGTCCTTGACATCCATGGTGTAAACACGCTCCTGGCACTCCACCGAGGCGATGGGGTTTGACTGTCGCAAGTCCCAGTACTTGATGGTCTTGTCCCAAGAACCGGTTACGAGTAGCGGGCTCCCTCCAGCCGGGTTTGGGATCATGTGGCAGCATTTGATGGGCGCATCGTGAGCGGCGACTTGAGTGGTCGCATTGGTTGCAAGGTCGAGCATCCGAGCGGCTTTGTCGGCGCCAGCTCCGACCACTTTCGTACCATCCTAGGTAGCAGCAGAGTCCATATCAGTTAACTGTAGATACTGCGACAAGGAAATGAGGGCGAGCTCACCGGCGACCAGCAACAGCTCAGAACGGGGGCCTCGTGCTCGAACAGAGCTTTACCTTCGCTCTGGCCCTGCTCATTGATCTCGTAAATGCGAACCTTCTTGTCCCATGAGGCTACAGCGAGGTGTTCACTAGCCGGGGAGAAGCGGAGGTCCGAAATACTGTCCTCGGGAGGTTGGTTCAGGGCGACATCCTTGGAGATATCACCTGTGGTGTTGGTCTGACCAGCTGAGGTCGTCGCGGCGCCGACGGAACCGAAAAGCGACATTAGGGCGGCGAGGTATTACACTATATAAACCGATTAGGCGATAAGCTGTACCACCAGGAAAATTGAGGAGAACCGCAACGCGAGACGAACCAGGAAAAAGCAGACGTGACTGGAAGCGGGAGGAAAGGCAGCAAGACTCGGGTGGTGGTGGTGTTGTACCCAAGCGGTCGCGGAAGAGAGGCGCAACCGGCCAAATTGACCGAAAAGCGTGAAGCTTGGATGTTTTGGAAGGCGCGCTAAATTGGCAGCCCGAGCAGCATTCACTAATTGCACGAAAAGGAATGGATGAAGATGGATTGATTTGTATGAAAGCTCGCTCATCCAAACGGGCAATAATTAATCGAATATCTTCTTCGCGGCTTTCCCTTCACCGCCTTCAAACAAGACAAACTGCTGAGTCAGCGGGGCAGAGCTCCCTCTTCCCTTTCCATCTTGGGTGATCACTCTGTACTTGAGTTGCTAACTACACACCCACCTACCCACTGTAAATAGTGGGTAGGACTGTGGGATTATCTCTTACTACTGTTTGTAGTGAGATCCCCTTTGTTCATCCCCAGTACCACTCCGCATGTCTAGCAACAATTCGATAAATTCTTCGCTTTGCTTCTTTCCTTCCATTTCCATGAAGTTGCAATAGTCTCCCCACATCTAAGACTGCTGAACTATATCATAAAATACATATACCGCCCAACAACATAAACTTGCCAAACATATAAGCACTATTTCCCCTAACTTCTCGGTTGAGGCCTCAGTCTTTCGCAGACCGGTTGGGTTTGCTCAACACTGGCACCCATAACGATCGACATCGATAAAATGGGCACTCACTATGAGCATGGGAGGAAGGGAGGGGGAAAGCTGACCTGCAACGGGTCGCCACCCACTATCGTTGAATGATTGCTGGTAGTTGTGTTGCAGGCAATATGGAAATGCAGCGTGGACCCCCGTTGTGATTCGTAGGACCCCGCCCAAACCTGCACAGTCAGGTTGTTGGATGGCCAATAACCTGCAGTCCACCACCGTATGATCGCCGATTGCTGTAGGCCCGTCTCGGGCGCAGTTTCACTTTCGAAAGGTACCTCTAGTCTACGTTAGTAGTAGACAGGCTACAGCCTACAGGGGGGACATCACACCACTGGTCCAGTCCCGGGGCCTGGACAGGCACACCCATCAAGACTCCTCTCAACCTCGAGCTTGTCTAGTCTCGGCCAGGGATGGTATCCCTTCATTCGATGCCCTCGCGATTTGGATGTCAAAGGAACTCACGTGCCATGGGGGGGATGACAGACCTTACATGAGCGGACGTTTACAGTTCAATCTGTACCACGGAAGGCATCTGCCAATTGTCTGGCACAATGAAAGGAAATGGGCGCCATGAGGTCATGCATTTCTTCCGTCTTTGCCGTCTGGGGTTGATCCGCTTGGACGAGTCAATCCATTCAGTCAGTTGGTACGCAAAAGATACCTAACTGAAAACGGTCTGCAAGAAGGTGACGCATTTTGGATCTTCACTACGGCTGCCGGCTCGAGAGGGAGGGGGGGTGTCGAATGCCGCTACAACAACTACTAACAGTACTGCTAGTACTACTACTTGGATACTACTCCACGAGATACTACAGATAGGTGCAGGGAGGGAAAAAGGAATCATGGGCCAGACGGGAGAGCGACCGAAGGAGAGAAAATAAAGTACGGCGAAAGAAGCAGACCAAGTGGAGCGGGCGGGAATGCGGGGTGCAGCCTTAGTGGACCGTCGCCCGGAAGCTCTCGACGTCAGGCTTGCTCGTGTGATCCGGTTGCCCCGAATGCATCAATCATTGATTTGAACTATCAAATACTAGGGGAGGGTAGAAGAATTATCTGATACCTTCAAGTTTAATACGAGATCTTCTTATAAGCAAACTTGAGAGATGGTTATGGGGAGAGGGGGAGGGTGAGGTTGTACTTTGAAACCATCCATCAGGTGATGGTCCGGATGTAGATATGCATCGTCCGGTGCGGAGATCCTCACAACATCATCATCATCATCCATCCTCCTCCCATCATTCCACCCTGCCTGCATCTCTCTCTCCCTCGCCATTCAGGCTCCCTCCCCTGTTTGAAGTGGGAACATATGATCCAGGATATTGACTCTGGTCGCGCTTCTATTCATCATTCGAGCCATTTAGTTCCCATCATGATCCCTGTAGCTGTGCAGTAGTTTGCAACTGGACTTTACGTACACCCGTGCTGTAGATTACTCCTAAACTCCTCTCTTGGTCTAATGCATCCCATGCCTGTATGTACGTACGTATGTACGTACGTATGTATGTATCTATATCATGATTTTTTATGAATTGTATGGACGGATGAAGGAGGCAGTTGGAGGGAATGGGGGAATGGGGAATGATGTATCAGGTAAGGAACACGATGGTATGGTACGTCAGGTAACTAGTAGTACTTAGTAACTGACAGACACACATCCCAAAGAAGCAAGTGAGAGCAAAGTGAACCGCTCCTTCCCTTTCTTCGCATGTTCTCCTCAATTCTGGGTTGGCCCATCCATGTCACCTGCCCTTTCCCTTCCTCCCTTTTCTTCCCCTTCTTCTTCTTACCTTTTACCTCCTCTTCTCTTCCTTTCCTTCCTTTCCTTTCTTCTCTCTACCATCTTGTTGGATCCTCCTGACTTGATTCTCCCCCCCTCCATTTCCATACTAAGTACTGCCCATACTACTTGCTCCCTCATTTACTGGTAAGTTCAACTCTCCTATTTCAAGAGTAGCACTAGGTGCTCGAGTAATCATTCCACGTCACCACTCGGGTCCTTCCCTTCTCTGCCACTGGACCTGTCCTCAGCGGCCAAAGGAACCCCCCCCCCCCCCCCCCCCTTAGTAGACACAACTAACAGGCTATTCGGTATACCAGTGCTCCTTTGAAATACTCACTGCTTCTTGCTACCATATTCCGCAGTCATGTCTGAGCCACTCACCAAGGTTGACTCTGCCATCGCGATATCCCCCAGGGATGAGAAGGCCCCCGACAAGGATGCCAAGAAGGGCCACAGACGTACCTCTTCCCATGCTGAGGGTGTCTACAACATCAAGGAACTTGGTGAGTCCTTTCTTTCATCAAGCTCTCTTCGAAGAGCATATATCATTGTGTGTCAGAGGTCCGTTCCTGCTAACCACCCGTCCAATTGTAGAGGAGAAGAAAATTGAAATTACGCTTCCAATTGAAACCCAGAAGACTGGATGGTATGCTCGTTGCTATATATACACTCTCAGAAGACGTGAGACTAACCCGGCAAACAGGAAATTGAACACTTCACCGTCAACCATTGAGGACAAGGATATCCTGAAGCTTCACCTGATCAACCCCCCGGTCAAGAAGATCGACCTGCACTTCCCGCTAGGGCTCGAAGTCACCGCTCGCAATATGAAGGGCGTCACGATAAAGGATGCGCTGGACGCAATCTACAAGCAATTCAAGAAGAAGGTAAGTTGCTCAAGACGATGCTCTATCCGACGTCTTCCATCCCCTCCAGTAATACTGACTTCCCATCCGTTTTAGGCCGATGATGAGCTGGACAAGCCTTACCTCGCTGGTTTCGAGTGGGACAAGGACGAGTGCTGGACACGCCTCATTGTTCACCAGACCAAGACGGGCCCCCCTCAACAGCCCAGCAAGAAGTCCAAGAAGAAGAGCAAGGCTGAAGAGGCATAGACTGCAAGTTCTTCGGATAGGCCATGTCCATCTTACAACGGCTTCTCTTTTATCTCTCTTTAAATGGCTACTTTCACCATAATTTTGTGATACTTTGTCCTCTTCGTGCCCTTGGCCTCTCTGGATCAGCCCCCGAGAAGGTCGAGGCAGGAGCTAGGCGAGAGGATGATAATCCCTGTAATCTGCCTTTGATGTCTTCCAACTCCAACTCTCTACTTTCGTTTCCCTTCCGAGGATCGCCTCGTTATTCTCTAGTTGAGTTGACTTACTGAGCACCGAACGATCTTGTATCCTCGAGCGCCATTCCTTCATTCAGATTCAATGTGGAGACAGAGGGATACTTAGTTGACCTTCTAAATAATGGACGTAGAGAACACTGCCTAGTGCGGTCTCTAGTAGACGGGCTAACCGGTAGGTTCAGGCACCAACAATCATGATGGGTCGACTTCCCACCCTTATCAGCATGTGATTATCAGATGTATGTGCATCGGCCTCACTCGCCCGCCGCACCTGCAACAGCTGCATTATATAGAGAATCGGCAAAACACGGTGCAGAATAGCACAGGCGCTAAAGTGCGGAAGAACAAATGCTAGAAAAGCACATCAATGCAACGCCCGCTAATAACAATACAGCCCTGCGATAGATATAGGAGAAAGTCAACAAAGAAAGAGACTGGAGAGAAAAGAGAGATCAATATCATACACATTAGCATGAAGTCATCAACGCATTCGCCCCGCGTCCCCTGCGCCAAACAATACTAAAACGACCTCGTCGAGAATCGTAAAGAAGAGATGCGCATTCAACCGTCGATTATTCAACGTCGCAAATATCCTGCGCGCCGCGGCCTGCGCATTCGCTCGCCCAACCACATTCCCCGCTAGATCGGGGATCAGCGTGGCCAGGACCAGACTGGCTTCAGTACGACTCTTCAGTCGCTCCGACGCAGTGCGGACTCGGCTTTGGCGAAGCACACCGCCCGGCCACATGGTATCCTTGATAAGGGTGATGTAGCGCAGAAGCGAGTCGTCCTGGACAAGGGAGCGTGCCCCTTCGCGAACTTTGCGCTCGATCGTACCTCCTAGTAATTGATGGAGAACGACGACCACGGCACGCCCGCGCAGCCAGTTATTTCCCTTGTTTAGCTCGAAGGCTTCCAGGAATAGATCACAGATGGGCTTGATGAAAGGCTCAAGCTCGCGGTCTTCGAATGCGTTTAGTTCGGCTTCGGCTTCGGCGGCGGTGACGGCGTCCTCGGTAGCGAGGCCCGAGTCACCGGGGGTTACTGCTGTGGTGGATTGTTGGTTTGTGGCGGCTGAGATGAGGCTTTGTCCGGCTGTGGATAGTTGATCTAATACGCCGAAGTTGCCCAGGAAGTCNTCCATGCCGTCGGCGACGGAGTTGTAAATCCGAGTGACTAGGTCTTTGGTCTCTCCGTTGGGGGTGGAGCTTTGGTTCTCGTTGCGGGGGATAATGGCTCGTTGGGAGAGGAAGGCTCGCAAGTCACGACTCCGGCATACTTCGGGAAGTAGAAGGAGTTTCTGTAGATATGCTTCTAAAGCTAGGCGTCGCTTCTGGAGAAATTCTTTCTGGAGCTTGAGAACGACACGTCGACGTGGGAATTCCAGGTGGCGGACGGATGGGTATCTCATGCGTAGCTTCTGATGTAATTCATGGAATTCGCTGTATCTGCGGGCCACGGCCCAGGAGGCCGCGGGCATTTGCTCCCCGGCGTTGCGTTGCACTTCGACCACATCTGAAAGATATGTTAATAAATCCGGACAGTAAATAGCTCCCCTGACAGAGGGAGGGAACAGAGGGAGGGAACAGAGGGAGGGAAGGAGGGAACAGAGGGAGGGAGGGAGGGCAGTAAGGAACGTACACATAGCGAACTCTCGACCATCTTCCTCCTTTCCAACTACAATGGACTTGATGCGGACGGTCGACCGGCCATACAGACTGTTGTCACTTTCTTGGATGATATACTGCTGCCGTTGCATTTCTTTGCGGTGAATCTCGCGTTGGATGCTCGCTTTAGATTTGCGCAGAATCCTCAGCTCCGCGGTGTTATTGGTGAGTTCGGCTTTGCGAGTAAGCGTGTCTACCACTGACTCCTGAGATCCGAGCTTGTCGATGTCTGCGGTGAGCGCCTCAATGGCTTCCGTCAATCCGAGATCCCCAGGAGCCGCCTCGTGAACTTGATCGGCCGGATCTGTATCTGTCCCCATCGGCTCTTCATATTCATCTTCGATATACTTCTGCTGTTCAGGGAAGAGATCGTCATCGAAGACCCCCTGGCGTGAGGATCGATCTACGAGGCCTAGCGAGGCAATGCTCGGCTTAATACGGTCCTCTGTCCGACTATCTGCCCGAGGGATGTCCATTGAGCTGCGCGGCGACCTGGGGTAAGGGTCGCTAGCGGGCAATGAAGATGGGGACACCTCGGTGTTCTTCAGATCTTCAATCTTGGTGTTCTTGGGCTCGCTCGCGATGATGTCGTTCAACGCTGCCTCCATGTTCTCAATGACTTGGTTTTGGTTTGCTTCGGTTTCGCCATTCTGAGAGTCTTTTCCTAGGCTTTGTGTGGACATGGCCAGCGGATCAGTATCGTAGTCGTCATCAAACAGCGGTACAGATCGCTCGGAATCAAATGAGCGCCTCGAAGATTCATCATCATCAAACAGCTTTCCCATGCTTCGAACATCGCTCGAAGAAACCGCCGCTCGTCGCAGATCTTTGGGTCTGGCGCCAGGTTGTGATGAGGTGCGAGACATCAGAGGAGGTAAAGGCCGCCTTTCGGGCACTTCAGCAATGTTCGGGGAGCTCGGTTTGGGGGACTGCGGGCCCGCCTGGGATGCTTCATCCGAGGCAAGGTATTTATAGTAGAGATCTGACTGCTTGAACTTCGGATAATAGATTTCCTGAAGTTTATCGAGCACCGCGGATTGAGTGCTCAAGATCACCGTCCGAGCTTTTCGATACTGCTCCGAGGTGGCCCGCTTCCCTGCGCTTAGGAAGGCCTTCACCACCCGACGGGACTCATCCGTGACTTTCAGCTCCGGTTTCGAGAGATACGTCTCACTGATTAGAGCCATGTCGCTTCGATCCGCCGGGGTCCAGCTTGTGGAGGTCGGGGAACTTTCGTCTCCGAAATCATCCTCCAAAGGGTTGCGAAAACCGTCGACCACGATCCAAAATTGAACTAGAGACATGAGCTGCTGACGGTCCATAAACTCCATGAAGTAAGAGAGACCCGACGCATCATGCATGACATCCACTAAGGAGGCTTCCTGAGGAATAGAATTCTTACGGCGAAAGTGGGATACGGCAGCGGAGGCGTGCGACATCTGGGAGCCTCCGGGGGCAGAAAGCTTAGCTACTTTTTGGTCCAAGACCCTCTTACCGGTCTCCAATCGTCGAAGGTAGACTTGGTCCTGTCCTTCCACCATGGTCTCTCGCTTCAGTTGGCTTGCCACGAGGGCTCTGAAGCGTCTGGCGTCCGAAAGATTGTTACAGCGCCGGATGGCCCGGACAAATCGCTCGAAGGCGCGCTCTGAATCGTGAGGGCTCAGTCGAGGAAATGGGTGACCCCTTTTCGACCGGGGAGCCGGGGATGCATGCTCGTCCAGGGCTGCCCTAAGTTTTCGGACAGTCTTACGGTCCTGAATCGCGGTGCGGCCATAGGCCTCCATCAGCTGATTCCAAGTGTCCGGGTCCGAGAGGACGGAAACGAGAGGGAACAGCACAGCGCAGGCTACAATCTCACGAATCAAGACGGAAACAATGCGGCTATTGAGGACGGATTCCGGGAACAATTGGGGCAGAAGCCCGACGGCAATCTTGCGGAGGTACTCCTGTTCCAGTAGCTTTTGGTCGGAGAGGGAGAGCATCGCGGCCGGGTGCAAGTTCCCCTCGCGATACTTGCTCGCGATGGCAATATCCAACTCTTCCGACTCCGTGACATTCCTGGTGAGATTCCTTCCCCGGACCAAGCGCTCAGCAACCTCAAATTCCTTCAGATGGGATGTCAAAACGGGGAAAATCCGGGACACTACGAGGGAGACGAGGTCTTCCGCCAGGAGTCTATCGCGCAGGTTTCCAATGGCTGTCCGAATCGTGTGATCCACCTCGTTCACGAATGTGGGGTTGGGGCTGATATGCTGGTACCATGATGCGATGAAATCCCGCGTGGCGAAGGATAGGAGCTCGTCAATGCCTTCAGAGACGATGAAGGATTGTGGGTAGAGTGATTGTGGGTTATAGATTGAGCGGCTTTTGAATGCCTGCGTTTCTTGATCCCAGTGATGGCGGGCGAGGAATGCGACGCGGGGGTTCGTAGGCGAAGTTGAAGCAACGGCGTCATGGGGAGAGCGGATGGTGAGGAGCACGAGAGCGATCAACACAGCGGAGGAAAGGAAAGCACCGAGCACCAAAGCATATCCCAAAAATCTCAACACGGGGAGCCATTTGACAGCGAGACCCCAGGCTATAAAGGCACCAATGCCCAGGAGGACATAATCGCGATGCTTCAGGGCCATTCTCCCTGGAGCGGGTGCGCTGCCATGCCGGTCAGGCAAGAGCCGGGAGGGAGCAGAAGAGAGACATGATGAAGAAGAGAAAGTAAGAACTGGAGGATAGAGAAGAAGATCAAAAGAATCAGAACAAGAGCTATGAGGGGACGACTTTTGAAGATAAGATGGTCAGACACTGACACTAAAAGTAAGAAGACGAGGGATCAGGCGGTGAGTTTGGAGGCTAAGTAGTTGCGTCACTCAGGTACTCCCTTCAATAGGAAGATCTGCAGCTGGTGTTTATTGTGAATTGTTGATTGATAGATGTTGAGACGTAGGTAACTTCAGTATACTTGTAGTAGAATATAGTACTTATCATCATCAATAGTTGGTTCTCGTACTTTTTGAACGGTGGTGTTTCAATCAATTCAATTAACTTAACATAACATGGAACTTCTGCCTGAGGCCCTTGTTGTGGAAGATCCCGTGCCTTTTTCAAGACGTCATGCCGTTTCGGGAAGATGTTTTCTTGTCTTTTCTTTCTCTCTCCACTTCGGCTGCTGCTTCTTGTTGTCTTCTTCTACGCTCCCTTCATCTTCCTTTCCCTCTTCATCTTCTCTTTTCTCTCTTCCCCCCACAATTCCTTGTCCCCTTCCTCTTCCCTTATACTCATCTCTCATCTTCCCTATTTCCCTTCCTCATGGCTTCCCTGTCCGACTTTGTCGACTTCTCCCAGCCGTCCCTCCAATGTACGTGGAGCTTTCCCCGGCTATCCCCTCTCTTCCCTCCCCGCATGTGATTGTAACTCTCTCTCTCACACACTCTCTCTCAACAGGGGCCGCGCTGTCAATCGCCTTTAACCCTATCTTCTGGAAGTAAGTATTCTAATATATTCCACTCTTTTCACCGCTAAGCATTAATCTATCCAGCATTGTCGCCCGTGCTGGTTGGTCCCAAACCCCCACTCCAACATCTCTCCCTCCCCCCCAATTCTACGAGGAATCCAGCTCTGGCAGCTTCTGCCTTGGCTCTCTACCTATTCCCACCACCTCTTCTTCCTCCATTTCAGTATAAGAGGCTTATGACAAATTTCCTCGGTCATATCATTCTGTAGAGTATCGGAGTCACTTCTTGACTCGTATATTCGGTAACGCCTACTACGGCTGCTACTTCCTCGCTGTCACCATCTTCAGTCTGGGAATTTTGCGAGACCATGTCTACCAAGTGGCCCTGGAAGACCAACCTTATTATGCCCCTGTGCACCAACCCGTCCTCGGCGGCCTTCTCTTCGCCTTCGGCTCCGTCCTCGTCCTGTCCAGCATGTATGCCCTCGGTGTCACCGGCACTTACCTTGGCGACTACTTCGGTATCCTGATGGATGCGCCTGTCACCGGCTTCCCCTTCAACGTTACTGGTTCCCCCATGTACTGGGGCAGTACTCTGAACTTCTTGGGCGTTGCTCTCTACAAGGGCAAGGTGGCGGGTGTCTTCCTGACGGCCGAGGTCTTCATCCTGTACTGGTTCGCTCTCCAGTGGGAGGAGTAAGTATCCCATCTATCTTTCTTATATGGCCCACTATGCACCATGGACTTGCCTTTACTCGTCTTTTTTGCAACCAAAGCCCATATGCACATGTGTCTCGAGCCCCAACGCAAAATGAGAATTCATCCCCCCCATGCACGGAAATGGTAGAAACCCACTGACCCGGGCCTGGTAGTCCCTTTACGGCGGAAATCTACGCCAAGCGGGAACGCGAGCGCGCCAAATCCAAGAGCGGCGGCAAGAGCTTGTAAGCCGAGGCTTGACAGGGATATATGTCCGGGGTCTGATTTACCGCCAATCTGCCTCCGCCAGCGGAGCTTGGACCTTTCGACATTCTTTTAGTCCCATCAGTCCCGGAGTGCAAACACAGGACTCGCCAAGCTACTGTTTCTGCATCTACATGGGACTGCATGCCATGATCGGCTAGGCAGTCTGGTTTTGTCCAGTAAGAAGATGAAGGAAGAGGTGGAGAGCTAGAATGAGAGCGAGAGCAAGGGGCAGGATAGGGCAGGAAATAGCAAAAACAGCTGGCCACGTATAGCCACTGAGAAGGAACAAAAGAAAACGGAAAGCGGGATACATTGAGATGCTAAGATAGAACGGAGAAGGAAAATTACTACAACGTTGACCTACCACATGGCAGTCTCCTACTCAAGTATAGATAAACAGGAACAACGGGTATCATTTGCTACGCTTGTGCGCTTTCGCCATGATCATCAACTATCATAAAATCACACCATACTCCCACCAGGGATGGTAAATCAAAGCACCTGTTTCACTATCCATATTCCCGTCAAAGAAAAAGAGGGAGGAAAGACCATCTCACTCGCACCATCTGTCGGTGGTAGCCTAAATTGGGACACCTGGTTTACCTCCCCAAAACGCCGCCAACTCCACGCTATGAGTTTTTGGAAAGTGCAAGTGATATAAGCGCGCAGATGGCAAGAGCTGCATCGGAGAGACATCCAAAGTCAAAACGCCTGTCGACTTCAACAAGGATCCAGCCTATGCCCGTCGACCTCTGCCTCTCTTGGTCGACGTCCGGCTCTCCTCCACGGGTTCGATTTCATCCTCGTCAGCACCCTTCTTAAGGTCTTCCCCTTCGGCAAGGCCCCATTTCTCTCGATCATACCAGTCTTCTCCGTCACTCATCTCGCCCACGTGCCCCTCCGCTTTGCACCACTCGAGCACGTCCTCTTTCATCCGATTGGCCCGGAGCAGAGACTCCAGCATATGCTCGAATCCACGAACGGTCTCCTCTTGCTTCTGTACATAAGACCAGAGCAGTCGACGTGTCTCTTCCGCTTCGTTGGGCGGGAGGCCGAAGTTTGAATCTGGTCGAACAGAGTCCGGTATAAGGAAAAGAGGGTGCGGCGTCGGAAGACTCCCTAATGTGTCGTCAGATGGGGACGGCGAGAGGCGTCCGGATTCGCCCTCCTGTGGGTTCGCTGCATTAGCCTGTGCCCGGGTCGTCATGCGCCGAGGTGGCTCGGGAGATGATCCATCTTGCATTTCTGCATCTGCATCTGCATCCGTCCCGTCTACCTGTGCATCGTCTCGGATTTCAGGATCGGGCTGCGCGATTCCCTGGATTGTGGCACCTTCGCGCTCCTTGCCACCCTTGTCCAAAGTGCCATCTGAGTCCGTCATTTTATCCCCATCAGATTTTGCGTTTGCCGCGAGGCTTCCATTGACTTGTGCGACTTGATTGATAGTCTCTGAATGATGAGGCAGGTCGCCAACTGGGGTATCAACTTCTTCTGATTTCGGCTCTCGGGGCTGTTCAAGCGCATTCGCAGCATTTTCCTTGTGAGTCATCGCCTGCTCATGGCTATCCGTCATCTCAACATCCTTATCCGCAGTGGGTTTGTCCTGAGCATTCTCGTTCTGGGAAGGCCAAGGCGACTTTGAATCACCTGCACCCACGGACGGGCCTTGCACACTGTTTTTCTGGGCAGAAGGCCCTGGCACCAAAGGGCTTGCGGTCCCGTTAGGTCTGTATTGACTTCCGGGTGAGCTGCGTGCCGTATGAGCTAAGCGGGGCTCAAAGATCCATCTATCTTCAGACGTCTCCACGGCACCAGATGGCATCCAAGAACTGTCTCCCAAAAACTGCCGGTGCAGATTCCTGGCCCGCCAAAGCAGTGCTCTTTCTTGACGGAGTTTGGCTTCGATTGCCTGCGTCATGTGCAGCAGCGCCTTTGACGTATAAGCGTGCGACAGAGAAGGATGGGTAGGGAGTTCGGACGGGTGTTTTAGAGGGCAAAGAAAGTCTAAAGATCAATGGTAAAGACTGATTAGCGGGAAGACCCCAAGGCGTCGAGATGAAACAGAAAACCTCACTTTCGAGCGCTATTTCCGAGAATGGATTTTCTGCCGCCGCAGCGGCATCAGCCTCGGAGTCTTCGTCATCCTCATCCAACTCATCGCCTTCAGAATCATAGCGCACGGGGTTGGGTTGGAGGATGTAACGTGTATAACCAGCATGTTCAATTTTCTAAGGAGTGATAAGTTCCTCTAGCCGTCAGCGTTCCTTCTTTATCATCATCACTTTGATCGACTAATGCTCCCAGAAAAAGAGAGCTCTCGATGGCCGCGGGGGTGGAAATAACCTGTTTATAAAGCTCTTCCGGATGTATGTACCCCAGAGCACCTTCCCGAACGAAGTTTGAGTTCGTGTGTAATTTATTGCCCCGATTTGTTGGTTGAGTGATCGGATCGTCAGGTCCAGAGTCTAGACAAGAGCGAACGGTTAGAAGAAAAGATAGAGACAGCGGGGAGGACAGAGTAGAGGACGCACAGTCATTCTCCTTGCGGAGGGCTCTCTTCATGCCAACAATGGTGTCGGCAATCAGAGCTGCCTGCGCCGCCATGGCTGGAATTGTAGTGGAAGTACTACTACAGCAGAGGCAGCCAGAGTGATGGCGACAGCAGCCGGACAAACGAGGACGGGTTTCTCAAAATGGACAGAGCAAATACGGAGTTTGCTGGGACGTAGTCGACAAGAAGTAAGCCCAGCACCATGCGGCATGCGAATTGATATATGGGAGAGCAGGTGAGGGGAAGAAGTAGGCGAAGAAGCGAGAGGAAGAAACGGAAGAACGAAGTTGAGGTGGAAGACTGGCAGTCCGGGCAGGGAAGGAACGAACGGGCGCAAGTTGCACCTCCGGATTGGGGAGGAGCTGCGGGCGTCGCTCCGATCGCCGCCACTAGTCCTCTTTCGGTAGCGCGTGATAAGGGCTCAACACGTGAGTGAGAGCAGCAGTCAATATCTTGATAATCGATGAATAACTTAGATAACCACTTCTACTTTGTGGCACTAAGTAGAAGGATAGTATCTCCACTAGGTATCTGTCTATAGCACTCAATGTATGATCCCAATTCAATTGAAAATGGTCCAGCTCTAAACCTGAGCTCCCTATACATACCACGCTACATACAAACTGTTCCATGACCCTCGCTGCACTCCTTAATCGTCCGCATCAACCCAGACTAAGATCCCCTTCTTATCCGACCGCATGTCTTCCGTTGGTAGCACTCGCAGAGTCTTGTTAAAATATGTATCGACCACGAGGAGCTGCGGCTGAATCCACAGACCTCGTTTAGATGCCAGCAAGTTGTAACGGACCGTGTGTCTGCTCAAGGGCACCAACTGCACTACCATCGTCTTCGGTCCGCTGAACGCAAAATTCTCACTCGCTTCCATGCTCAGGTTGAAAGTAAGGAAGTGCATCGACGGGTTCTCTAGAGTGTAATCCAAATGGATCAACCCTGAAAGTGTATCGGACGCCTTAGCTGAGGCGAGCACCCGAGGCTCACCTGCCGGGATAACGAATCGGGGAATATCAAGCGTGGTCGTGGTTGTTGTGGATCCGTCGTCCGGCGCACTGTCATCTATTGCGCTGCGCCTCCAGCGGATCTCTAGGGCGAGGTTCAAGGCTGTGGGTCTCCGGTCACCCAAAATTTCCTTCTGGAGGTCCATGATGAAGTTAGATTCGCGAAGCTCCTCCGGACGGATCTCCGCCACCTCGGGACTGATTACTTCCTCCGACTCAATGTGACAGGTGGCCGCGCCGCCCAGTCCAAGCAACACTAATGACATTTTTTCGACGACCAGGGGCTCCACAGCAAAAGAGACGACCTTGGAGTTGAGACACCATCTCTGCTGCAAACCTCCGGGCTTGGCTTCATCTCCGATGGGAAGTAAACCGTCATCCACATTGAAGAAGTCCGGCCAGGGTTGGGGATGAAGGCGTGGAAGGAATTCATAATTGGCCTCAAATGGCCTGATGATTGATAGGCCAACGCGCATGCTTGCGATGATAGGTGTCTGAACATCAGAGACGAGGTTGTAAAGCGCAGAGACTTCAAGCTCGTAGTCCAAAGCATCGTTGGTATCCGTGACCACGATCGTTAATTCTTGATGAGATGAGCGTTCCATCACCCCTATCGGTCGCTTCAGGTAGTGAGAATTGCCTTCTGTCGGAGTACTCTCCCCAGACCCGTGCATTTCCGGGGGACTCTCTTCATCTAGCCACCGTATCTTGGCTGTGGACTCCGGCCGACCAAAAAGTCTAGTCTCAACAGAAACATCTGCAGCTTCTTCTTCCTCGTTGTCGACACCTAATCGAAGGACGATTTCCTCGTTCGTATAGTAGGTTTCGCGAAGGTTCAGCAGCTCTACCCGTATCTTTGGTGGTTTGGGCAGTATCTTACATCGGCCCGTATCGCGGCCTTTGCCCACACGCCGTCTGCTTGGGCCCTTCGACGTTTGCTGCCACCAATAGGACTCATATGGAGTTAAATCGGTTATCGCGTTGGTAAGATCAAATTTTTCTTCCTCGACGGTCAATGTTATGGACGCGACACGGGACTCTCCGGCTTCTCTGGGAATGCATGTAATATCGTATACCTTAGTCTGCGTAGGCCCAAACGTCAGGTCTGCAAGCCCAATCAAAGCAGTCAATCCACTCGTGGGTGATTGCAAAGCCGACGGATCTTCAGCCGTGCTGGGGTCACGTAGCAATGGCGACAATATTGTGCAGGGTGTGGTCGTATCGGCGTCCACGTTGCGATCGGACTGGAGTCGTATTGGCCGCAGGCAACCCTCAAACACTACTTTCACTTCGGAGAATGTGAGAGGGTTCGATGAGGGCTGGGCACAGGATGCGATGATAAGCTGGCCCTTTGAGGGCTCGCCGACATTTCCTTCGGAGCTTTGAAAGACGAAAGACGCCGTGACTGAAGCCCG